GTGCTGTTTCTCTTTACACAGATGGTAGTTCCTTTCCACTCTCTCCGCAATCTTTTTTGAAAAATCATGCCTCCATTTCAGTTTGTCCCTTTTAATCCTCCACTTTCATCGTCCTTGTCTTTCCCTTCTACATTTTTTCTTCTTTTCAGACAAAACTCTATACACCTTTCCCTTTCTTCTTATCTTCTTTCTCTTCCATTGACTCCTTTTAACCGTTATTATTTTTTCCCCATGTCTTGGGTTTTGAAAGCATAACAACTCTATGTCCTCCTTTCCTTGTTGACACCCAGAAATCTCTTCCTGATTCTGTGTCTGTGGTTCCAAGTTTTCAATTCTCTCTGTTACAATAGGGGTTTCATATAAGTTTGCAAATGCTTGTTCTATCCCCTTTTGTATTCCTTCTTTTAGCCTTTTGTATTCCTTCTTTTAGGAAAACTGTTCCACTGTCATTTCTGTCACTAACATATTTTCGTCCAGTGACTCCTCCAACTCATTTCCCCCCACAGACACCATGTCCCCACAATCACAGTCCTCATATAAATCCTTTCCCAAGAGATCAACATATATTGCCCCGAATAAAAAAAAGAGTAGATATGTAGCACTTAGCTTTCTTTTCTCACTTTCTGGCCGCTTTGTTTTTCCACTTTGCGCTACTCGTTTTCAGGGCGTTTCCAGGGTATTTACACAATTTCCTTAAAGATGCATGCACTTTCAATTCCAAAATATTTCCCACTTCGTTGCTTGTAATCCAAAAAACAGAGGGGAAAACCCCCCCACGTATAAGTAAAAACAAGACGGAAGGCAGATGTAATTATGATTTATAATGAAATGAACAGATTGGAATAATTAGACGTTTATTTACTAGAATGTAATGTTAAGTGTGTGAGGATATGAATTTAAGGGTGGTGGAATGAACTGATCTGAGTAGGGTAAAAGCGTTTACCAAAATTATGTTGGTTCTCCCCCCCCCCTTTTTATCATTGTCCTTAATGCGTTTTTGGTCTTCGCCAGTTTCACTTGTGTTTTTTGAAAGATGTATAATGGAGAGAATTGAGTATTGTGCTCTCAGAGCATATGAAATAATGAATGGGTATAAATTTAAGAGTGTTGAAAGGATTTGATATGAGTAAGGCAGAGGGTTTATTTAACGGTAAACTATTATTGGAATTTTGGTAGTTAAGAAATAATGGAAAAATATATTTATACCATTATATGTATAGAGTAAATTTAATTATAAGTACTATAGTAGGTTTATACTATAATAATTTTGACCTAAATTGTAAGTAGGTAAATAGTAAACGTTAAATGATAAAACATCTTTAAAAAATAATAATAAGAAAATTGTATAGATGCGGGAATTAATGGAAATTGATTTAATATCTTATCCCAAGGGAACAAATGTGATTTGAAAAAAGATTAACTTAAGGTTTATAGAGAAGAGAAAGAAGTAATCTTAAAAGTTAATATTATTGGATGTGTCGTGGGGGTGCTCCAGGGTGACGACTTCGCAAGAAACAGATGCCGGTTTTCCCTCAGTGATGGTCCTCAGGAGTTAACACTCACTCCTGGTTAACCATGGGAGGCCGATTAGTGAGTTTCGAGTTAAATTCATTCCCCTCAGTCATCATCTGACCGTGCCATCATTCCTCCTCGAGTCCACCTGCATTTCTTTTATTTCTTTTACACTGAAGTCATCTTCCCCGCGCTCTCCCACCACCCATCTCTTAAAGCAGCTACGCCACCAATCAAGCCCCCCGACTTCCGCCCTCAGGACTGCTAGGTTGCCAACCGTTCTCCCATCTATCGGGACCTTGTCTAGCGACCCACTAGGTGCCCTTCCCTTGTCTGCCTCCTTTATTGGAGGGATTCCCCCTTTTTGATCGCATGGCCAGCGTTCCCGCACCTCCAGGAAAGGGCCGCTGGCTTCCATCTCTGACACCTCTATAGCTGATGGGGGTTGCTCCTGCATAGTCGGGAGGGGCATGGTATTACCGTCCTGACAAAGTATTAAAAAAAAAAAAGAGGTGGCCAAACTGTGGCTCGGGAGCCGCATGCGGCTCTTTCACCCATATTGCGCAGCTCCCCTCAGGGTGGCTGGGGAAGCTAAATATCATTAGCAAACAAACAGCATTGGACAAATAAATATCATTATCAATATCTGCTTTTGCTGCTTTGGTTATTATTTTCGGTGGTCTCGTTTAATGCAAATAAAAAGACAAATCTGCATATTTTCCAATAAAAACATGTAATACTTGTTCATGTCTTGCAGCTCTCAAACATCTGACGTTTATTCTATCTGGCTCTCAGATTAAGCAAGTTTGGCCACCTCTGGTATGCATGGACGTAGGGTGGGAGTGGGGGAGGGATGTTTGTATTTGGGACAGAAGGTCCGGTAGGAACACATGAAGCTGCCTTATACTGAAACAGACACTTGGCCTGTCAAGGTCAGTCTTGTCTACTCAGCAGGGGTCATTTCGTAGAAAAAGAGGTGCAGGAGCTCATTAGCATAACTCATTAGCATAACTCATTTGCATATGCCACACCCCCTGACGTCACCGGAAGTGTGTCAGAAGGCAACACCCACCGCTCAGGCTCCACTGGATTGTTTTGGATTGCTAGCTATTTGGGGGGGGGGGGGAATGTGAGGATCCTGGGGGGGGGAGAGAATGTGCAGATCTGCCCTCACAGAGGAGGGAGAGCTTGGACCTGAATAAAACTTGGCCTTAAAGGTGCCACTGGACTGTTTTGGATTGCTAGCTGGGGGAGGGAATGCACAGATCTTTGCAGAAAGGAAGGAAGGAGAGAAAGAAAGAGAAGGAAAGGAGGGAAAGAAAGAGGGAGAGAAGGAAAGAAGGAGGGAAAGGGATAGAAGGAGAGAAGGAAAGAAGGAGGGCTGCTTCTTGCTCCTCATGGCCTGGGGCTGCTGGGAGAAGGGGGCAGGGCTTGTTGCATGTGCCCGCCCCCTGGGCTCTTTACTGCCGGAGGTCTGCTCCTGTGCGCTCCTGCAGGAAATGACCCCTGCTACTCAGACTGGCAGAAGCTCTCCAGGGTCTCAGGTGGTCTTTCGCATTACCTACTACCTGGTCCTTTCAAGTGAAGATGCCAGCGACTGAACCAGTAGATATCTATTATGGTTCCCAACTTCAGGTGGTACCAGGAGATCGTCCAAAATTACAGCTGATCTCCAGATTACAGAGATTCGTTTCCCTGCAGAAAGTGGTTTCTTGGGCAGGTGGACTCTGTAGTAGCATAACACCCAATTAACGTTCCTCCTCTCTCCAGGCTCCACCCCCAAATCTCCAGGGATTTTCCAACCCGCAGTTGACAGCCATCGTTTCTTTCCTTTTTAATAAAGCTTGAGTCGATAAAAAAAGAATAAAACTGGAATAAAGCGGATCAGTGTTCCCTCTAAGCTGAGTCAGTGTGAGCTAGCTCACAGTTTTTTAGCCTCTGGCTCACACATTTTTGTCTCCGCTCGGGAAGGTCGGCTCCAGAACGAACCAATTGATGCAGCGGCCAAATCGCTCGCTCACAACTTTAATGCCAGGAGCTCACCAAGTAGAATTTTTGCTCAGCTTAGAGGGCGCATTGAAGCTGATACAAACAAAGAACTAAAATACAGGATACATATTACAGAGCAGTTATAAACATCAGTCATATAAAATCATCTTCTCATTCTAGATTTTTTTTAAAATCCAGTTTCCAAATTTTATCAGACACTTGGTGATGTAATAAACAGTTCAGTTTACATAAGTGAATAGGTAAAGGTAAAGGTTTCCCCTGCTCAAAAGCTAGTCGAATCGGACTGTAGGGGGCGCTGCTCATCTCCGTTTCCAAGCCGAAGAGCCAGCGCTGTCCGAAGACTACACTCTGCTACTTTTTCTAACCAGTCCTCCTTTGGAATTATATTCTTCTTTCAACAGAAGCACATCTTACATGATAGGTTCACATAGGTACATTTAACTTATTGTGAGCAGATTAACTTCAAACAGGTTAACTTGCTACAGGTAGGGTTGCTACATCTGGGTTAGGAAACTCCTAGAGATTTGGAGGTGGAGCCTGGGGAGGACAGGGGCCTCAGTGGGGTACAGTGCCATAGAATCCACCCTCCAAAGCATCCATTTTCTCCAGGGAATCTGATCTCTCTAGCCTGGAGAGGAGTTGCAATTCCAGAGGATGCCCAGGTCCCACCTGAAGGCTGGCATCCCTAGGTAGCTCCAAGCCCATATAAGAGAGACAAGAGATGAAACAGAAGATGAAACCGAAGGCACTCAAGGGCCAAAAATGCTCAGCATCGGGGGGGGGGGGGGATCTCACGCAACATGGTGTGTCGCCTAATATGCAAAGGAGCTCCTGCTACAAAAAGAGCCCTGAAGGGCCAAAAATGCTCAGCATCTAAGGGGGGGGGGGATTGCCAACTGCACCCAGGGTTGCCAGCCTCCAGGTGGGGCCTGGAGATCTCCCGCCTTTACAACAGATCTCCAGCTGACAGAGATCAGCTCCCCTGGAGAAAATAGCTGCCTTGAAGGGTGGACTCTATGGCCTTGTACCCTGCTGAGGCCCCTCCCCTCCCCAAACCCCGCCCTCTCCTGGCTCCACCCCCAAAGTCTCCAGGTATTTTCCAACCCAGACTTGGCAATCCTAACTGCACCCCAGCGAGAGAGAATTCTCTTAACCTTTTCCCTCCCAGATCCTCTTGCATGCAGTCACAATATCCAACAGTTTCTTCCGATTTATTTGCCTTCCTCTGCAAACAGTAGGGCTCTAAAGCCACAACTTCGACCCATGAGCTAAAAAAAAACAAAAAAAACACTACAATTCCCAGAATCCTTTGCGAGTACATAAAACCCCCCCCCGCATCATAGTTTCTCCCTGCCGGGCTGGAGAGTTACAGGCGGTGTGTCCGTCTCGAAGGAACTCCCCTTCCCCGGAACTTTAGAAGCTGCGGTCGAGTGGTTGCGTGGGATGGGGGGGCCGTTTTAGGAGCCGGGCCGCGGCCCTTTCCCACGGAGGAAAATGGCGGGGGGCGGCCGGGGCGCGGGGGCGGCGACCCCCCAGTTGCGGCGCGACAAGCGGCTGGTGTGCGTGGAGTACCCCGGCGTGGTGCGGAACGTGGGCAAGATGCTGCAGACTCTGGGGGGCGAAGACGGAGTCTCTCGGGTGAGGGAAGGGCCCCCTGTTCCTGCCCCTCAGCAGGCAATGAAGAGGGGCTGGGTCTTTGGAAGCGCCTCCCGTTGTGCCCCGGGGGGGGGGAGGAAGAGAAGGAGGTCTACTTGGCACATGCTCAGGGGAACTCTTTCCGTCCCGGCCTCATTAATGCTGTTAAGTGAAAATTGCCCGGTTTTGGTAGAGTTGCCAACCTCCAGGTGGGGCGTGGGGACTAGAGATGTAAAATTTTCGGAAATTTTGAAGCTCGGAAAAAAAACCCGGGTTTTTCCGGAAAAAACCGGAAATTTTCGGAAAAATTGAAAAAATATATGCTACATTAGCATTTCTTTTGTCTTTTCTAGATTGAAAGTCATTCTATTACTTTAGGAACATAAAATATGACTATGGACATTTTTACTTGGCATGAAATTATCACACCTAGCATATTAAAAATATAGCGTATCTAAACAATTATTACAAACAGAATACCCATCCACATGCAAAAACAAAACTGAAACTTTTTTATTTTCTTCTGACAATCGCACCTCCTAAAGGAAGAAATGCATCTTGTTCTTGCATTGGAGAGTTCAGTTTGTAACCTAGGACTTGCTTGTCCTCAGTGCACAGAAATTACATCAATCTGATGTAACAAGTAGTCGGCCTTACTGCTGCCAGGATCCTGTCAACTTCCTCCTGGGAGAGTCAATTGAAGTGGTCCAATATTGTGGACCAATGAAGTGGACCAATGAAGTGGACCAATGAAGTGGGCCAAGACGTTTTTTTCTTTTCTTTTCTTTTTTCAATTTTTCGGAAAAAACCCAAAAAGGCTTCAGGAAAAAAACGGAAAAAAACCGTTTTTTTCCTGAATTTTTCCGGTTTTTTTCTGGGCCTTCACATCTCTAGTGGGGACCTGGTATTACAATTGATTTCTGAACAATATGGGTTCTCCAGACTCTCAGAAAATGGCTTGCTTTGGAAGGCATCCTATGGTATTGGACCCTGCTGAGGTCCCTCCCCACCCCATACCCACCCTCCCCGGGCTCCGTCTCCAAATACCCAGTTATTTCCCAACCCAGAGCTGGCAACCCCAGTGTTTAGGCTCCTCCTGAGGGTGAGAGGCGGATGGGGAGGAATGAAACAGGCCGTTTGCGGGTTGTAGTCTGGTTTTTCCCCTGTTTCTGAATTACCAGGCTGTTACTCTGAAAGTTGCATTGAGCTTTTAGAAAGGTAGAAAATACAATCTTTTAAGATAATTATTTTCTGCTTGCCCTGATAAAAACTCTTTGCAGTTCGTCCCGCCCCCATGTTGCTCATGCTCCACCCCTGTGCTGTGCGGGGGGGGGGGAGTGATTCCTCCAGATTTGGTGTCTGGAGGCTTTGCCCGTATTTCACCAAGGCCTGCCTGCCCCCCAATCTACTAAGCACTGCCCCTAGCTCCCAGTCTCCTCTCCTTCCATCATAGGGTCTGATCCTCAGTAAACCTGACAGACCTCCTTTTGATAACTTAAAGAAAGAGGTCTTCCTTGACCTGTGTATAGATCATTACCGCTATATATTTCTTACAAATATGCTTGTCCTCAACATAAAATCATTCTGCTTGAAAGGTACTGTTTGTTTGTTTATTTATTTATTAGTTTGATTTATATCCCGCCCTCCCAAAGGCTCAGGGCGGCTCACATGCGGCAAAGCCGAGTGCAAAATACAATACAGTATATAATACAAAAAACATTTAAAATCACAATAAAACTGTGTAGGGTGGAAGGTTTGGAAATCTCTTGGTTGAGAAAGTAATAAATGGTCCTTTATTATCCAATAATGCTTTAAATTGCCAGGGCACAAGCTTTTGAGGGTCAAAACTCCCTTTGTCATATATAGAGTGTTGACTCTGGAAAGCTTATACACTCAAAATTGTACTGGTCTTTAAGGTGCTGCCATAGACCAACACAGCTGCCCATTATAAACTTTATTTCTCATATTTCCCTGTTTGTGTGTAAAAGGAAGAGTGGTGGGACTCCATCTTGCTTGCTTGTTTTTGAAGTCCCCCCCCCAGTCTTACCTTGGGAAGCTGTTGTCTTTAAGCCCCAGATCTCTGGGAGAAGGGGTGCCTCCTGTGTGCATTTGGGGGCATTTTTTTGCCATGATAAATTCCTCTGGTTGGAAGCAACGAAGGTCCTGGTGTAAAGCCTTATATGAAGTCCTCATTCCTGTACCCACTCCATAATGAACTGTGCTTAGACAAAGTTGGGAGGGTTGCTTTTGTATAAAACATGCTTTTTAAAATGTGTGCAACAGAATGGCAATGAAAAGCTACATAAAACAGTTCAGAATAACACATTTGAAAGAGTCAGTTTCATCTTTGTTATCTGTGACATGAGTGTTGATGGTACTGCATGTAAAAAAAAAAAGGGCCGACTCAATAGATCTTACAAATATGCTTGTCCTCAACATAAAATCATTCTGCTTGAAAGGTACTGTTTGTTTGTTTATTTATTTATTAGTTTGATTTATATCCCGCCCTCCCAAAGGCTCAGGGCGGCTCACATGCGGCAAAGCCGAGTGCAAAATACAATACAGTATATAATACAAAAAACATTTAAAATCACAATAAAACTGTGTAGGGTGGAAGGTTTGGAAATCTCTTGGTTGAGAAAGTAATAAATGGTCCTTTATTATCCAATAATGCTTTAAATTGCCAGGGCACAAGCTTTTGAGGGTCAAAACTCCCTTTGTCATATATAGAGTGTTGACTCTGGAAAGCTTATACACTCAAAATTGTACTGGTCTTTAAGGTGCTGCCATAGACCAACACAGCTGCCCATTATAAACTTTATTTCTCATATTTCCCTGTTTGTGTGTAAAAGGAAGAGTGGTGGGACTCCATCTTGCTTGCTTGTTTTTGAAGTCCCCCCCCCAGTCTTACCTTGGGAAGCTGTTGTCTTTAAGCCCCAGATCTCTGGGAGAAGGGGTGCCTCCTGTGTGCATTTGGGGGCATTTTTTTGCCATGATAAATTCCTCTGGTTGGAAGCAACGAAGGTCCTGGTGTAAAGCCTTATATGAAGTCCTCATTCCTGTACCCACTCCATAATGAACTGTGCTTAGACAAAGTTGGGAGGGTTGCTTTTTAAAATGCGTGCAACAGAATAGCAATGAAAAGCTACATAAAACAGTTCAGAATAACACATTTGAAAGAGTCAGTTTCATCTTTGTTATCTATTGATGGTACTGCATGTAAAAAAAAAATGGGCCGACTCAATAGTGTGGAAGGAAGGAATTCTCTACCTCGAGTTTGGGAGAGGGCTGTAAATAGATGAAAAGTGTTATATGAATGGTTACTAGCCATAGTCTGTATCTGAAGAAGTGTGCATGCACACGGAAACTTTGAATAAAACTTTGTTGGCCTTAAAGGTGCCACTGAACTCAGACTTTGGTCACTAGCCATGATAGCTAAATCCTCAGAGATGGTGTACCTCTGAGTACCACATGCAAAGAATAAACAGGTAATGGAATTTATGAGCTTTGAGTGGGATGTGTTCTGAACTGCTGTTTGGAAAAAGAGTATAGAGTGAAGTGGGCCATCGTCTGCCCAATGTTTTATATCCTGTCATTCAGTGGGATAGCATGGGTGACTAGGGAGCCAGATGAAAGCTTTCTGGGGGCTGAACTTGAACACATGAAGCTGCCTTATATGGAATCAGACCTTGACACAGATAGTACTCCATCTTTCTATGTTATACCTCTGAGGATGCCAGTCACAGCTGCTGGCGAAACTTCAGGTCCTACAGTGCCAAGACCATAGCCATACAGCCCGGAAAATCTACAACAACTAAAGACCCTTGGTTCATCAAGGTCAATATCGTCTATTTAGACTTACAGTGGCTTTCCGGGGTCTCAGGCAGAGGTCTTTCACATCCTCTACTGCCTGGTCCTTTTTGAACTGGAGATGCCAGGGGCTGAACATGGGACCTTCTGCATGCCAAGCAGAGACACTTCCACTGAGCTGCAGCCCTTCCCAAAGCTCAAGGGTAGCTGGTAATTTACTGCTTTTATGTGTTCTCAGGGAGGTCACGATAGTATATTCTTGGGTGTTTCCCCTCAAATTGTGGGAGGTGGAGGTAAGTATGGAAGGGAGGATGCCTGCTGCAGATTGGGTCTAGCCATTGTTACTGATGGGTGATGAACATTCCCTTTAGGTCTATGCTGACCCTAGCAGAAGGCTTGAGCTCCACTTCCGCCCCAAGGACCCCTACTGCCACCCCGTGTGTGCCAACCGCTTCCCTACGTCTTCCATGCTGCTTAAAGTGAAAAGGACTACAAGGAGGAAGCGTACAGAAGCCGGAGCGTCTGAGGAAGACGTCCAGTTTGAAGTAGAGATTCTTGGGATTGTTACCACAGTCTATAAGTTTCAAGGTAATAATTATGGTTTGACCTGTCTGTTGCATGCGGGCTATATGAACGTGTGAAGCTGCATTATGCTCAGTCAGACTTTTGGCCCATCTAGTCCAGTATGGTCTCCAGTGATGGCCAGTGGCCTCTGGAATCTGCCCTGAAATATGCAAATATGGGACAATGTGCATTTGCTATGTGACAACAGCTCATTAAAAGTCATTCATTTTTGCCCTGACCTGGATAGCCTAGGCAAGCCCATTCTCGTCAGATCATCGAATCTCAGAAGCTAAGCAGGGCTGACCCTGGCAAGTATTTGGATGGGAGACCTCCAAAGAATATTAGGGCCACGAGGCAGAGGCAGGCTATCAAGCCACCTCTCTGAACATCCTCCATGCCCCTGTAGAAGTTACTGGAGGTTGCCATGACTTCTAGACACAGGCACACACACACACAAATGCAAAAAAAAGGTCATTCTTTTTTTTTAAAAGCTGACTTGAAATTTCCTCAGAACCCCTTTCTGGATCAGACTGAGTCTGCAGCATCCAGTTTCTATCAGTGCCTAGCCAAATATCTCAAGAGGAAGAGGAAGAGATTGGGTTTATACCCCACCCTTCACTTGGAGTCTCAGAGTGTCTTATCTTTCCCTTTCCCTCCCCACAACAGACACCCTGTGAGGCAGGTGGGGCTGAGAGAGCTCTTTCTAGAACTGCCCTTTCAAGGATAACTCTTGTCAGAACTACGGCTTGCCCAAGGTCATCCAGCAGGTGCAAGTGGTGGAGTGGGGAATCAAACCCGGTTCTCCCAGATTAGAGTCTGTGCACTTAACCACTACACCAAACTGATGTAGGAAGGGGACATGTAGGGCATGACTTGCCAGTGATTCCCTCTCTGCTGTTCTAAATAACGGTCACTTCTATTTCCCTAGACTGCCTAGGAATGGGGGCCACAGAGGCCGCCTCGGCCCTGGGAAGCTTAGGATGGGGTGAACTGGGGACCGAGAGAGGAAGGAAGCAGTGGGGGTAAGGGAAGGGTAACGAAGGCACAGGAGTCCAAAGAGGATGACAGGGAAAGCAGGTGGGACAAGCTGGGCAAAGTCAGCAGGGAACATGAGAGGGAAGCGGTGCCTGGCTGCCAACTGAAGAAGAGATTGGATTCATACCCTGCCCTTCACCACCCGAAGGAGTCTCAGAGCGGCTTACAGACTCCTTTCCCTCCCCCTCCCCACAACAGACACCCTGTGAGGTAGGTGGGGCTGAGAGAGCTCTTTCGAGAACAGCTCCGAGAGAACTTGTGACTGACCCAAGGTCACACCAGCAGCTGCATGTGAAGGAGTGGGGGACTCTAACCCGGTTCTCCCAGATTAGAGTCTGCGCTTCTAACCACTACACCAAACTGCCTTCTGAGCTGAAACTGTAGCTCGGGGAGGCAGCGTGGCGTAGTGGTTAGAGTGCTGGACTAGGGTCTGGGAGACTTAGGTTCACATCCGCACTCTGCCATGGAAGCTCACTGGATGGCCACGAGGCAGTCGTACACGCTCAGTCTGCAGGGTTGTTGTGAGGACAAAGTGGAGAAGGGGAGAATATCGTAAGCTGCTTTGGGTTCCCCTGGGAGAAAAACGTGGGGTATAAATGCAGTAGATAAATAAATGTCATCTTCTTGGTCACGTCCGCATTACTTGGTGGGGCATCTTGTTAGTGTTCAGCACTCAACTGCGTGGCTAATCTTGTGCAGATCGACTGCATTCCTCAATTTGTGGCACCACCTAGGTCAGTGATGGCAAACCTTTTAGAGACCGAGTGCCCAAACTGCGACCCAAAACCCACTTATTGATCGCAAAGTGCCAACACGGCAATTTAACCTGAATACTGAGGTTTTACTTTAGAAAAAACAACTCATACATTAATTTAAGATGATCCAAACAAAGTAAGGAAAGCAATCCCAAATGCTTTCACTTACTTAAAATTATTTAGCAGAGAATTCGACACTTTAATAATGGTCTGGGCCTGGCTTGGGCAATGGCACGCGTGCCCACAGTGAGGGCTCTGAGTGCCACCTCTGGCACCCATGCCATAGGTTCACCACCACTGACCTAGGTGGAACGGTGCAAGAGGCCCACTCCTCTTGTGTCCCCTTCCCTCCACTGTGCGGCGAAAGGGAACCTGTCCATCTTGGGATGGATTCTCATCCACCTGTCTCTTACCACATACAGGGATGTCCGATTTCCAGTATTTGGCAGTGCACTCTGGACCTCAAGGCAAGCACACCTCCATGTATGACAAAGTGTTGATGCTCAAACCGGAGAAAGAGGAGTTCTTCATGAACGAACTGCCGCTCTACATCCCTCCGCCCATTTTCTCACGCTTGGACACTCCTGTGGATTATTACTACCGGCCAGAAATACGGCATAGGTCAGTGGCTGTCTTGCGATGAGAGCAAAGTAGCCTTAAGGATACGCTTTGGACAGGAGGTGGGCTGCTCTGCCGCACTCAACGCTAAGCATTTACGATTGGGCGGCCCACCACTGACATTTCCTCCCTCCCCTGTTCACTGGCAGCACCTGAGGACCATAGAGCTGCTGGGATTTCATTGTCCCTCTCTGCTGCCAGGAGAAACCAAACACTGGCAGAGGGCAGGCAAGCGAGCAAGGCAGTGAGGGAGAGGCAGAACTCTGCAGATGAGCTTACGACGTGGGGGTTTTTGTAGAGTGTGGCTGGTTTGCCTGGATTACTACAAATGTGGTGCTGGTGTCCCCCCCCCCCAATCAGGCACTCTCGCCCCAGGTAGAGGTTGGAGTTTCACCGATGGGTGAAGCTTCCTCACAGTTCCATGTGGCTGGAGGACTGGTCCGTACGAGCAAGCCTTAACTGGTCCGAAGTGGGAGAAGGTACTCCCCTGGATTGCAGTTATGTGGCTAAGGTGTTTTATTTAAAAGGCACGGCTGGGGTTCCCCCCCTTTTGCTTCTGTGGTTGTCAGATCTAACAATTTCAAGAACCGCTTGTGTACTTTGCAAGCGTTAAATGCAGTTGCTATGTCTGAGGCTTTCCCCCCACCTCACCAAGCCAGTGTATCCTGATATCTCTGAAGTCACATTGTTTGGTTTCTGTGTGACGAGTGGGTCTTTGCGTGGGTTTGCTGGATTTTTATTTTAATTTGTAAAGTTAATGTGTGTGTGTGTGAGTGTGGAAGGTGCTGCCGAGTCGCAGCTGATTTCTGGCGACCCTGGTGGGGTTTTCAAGGCAAGAGATTTCCAGAGGTGGTCTGCCATCCTCTGCCTCTGCGTAGCAACCCTGGACTTCCCTGGTGGTCTCCCATCCAAGCACTAATCAGTGCTTGACCCTCTTTAACTTCTGAGATCTGACAAGATCGGGCTAGCCTGGGCCATCCTGGTTAGGGAGGCATTTTCCCCTCGGGGCTTTTTTGTTTTTGTTTTATCAAGGTGGCCTGTTATGTGTGCATTATAGGGGCATTTTTTCTTTTTCTTTTTTCCAAAAAAAGCGAGTTTCACTTGAGCAGATCAAGACGGGCAGCCCTGTTAGCCTGTCTGTAGCAGTAGAAAAGAGCAAGAGTCCATGAGCACCTTAAAGACTCCCAAAATTTGTGGAAGGCTAGGAGCTCTCGTGAGCCACTTGCTCGCTTCTTCAGATAACAGTGACTCACAAAAGCTCATCTTCTGCCACAAATTTTGTTGGTCCTTAAGGTGCTGCTTGGACTCTTACTCTTTTCTACCACTTGAGCAGAGAATGCGTGTAGACTGTGCATTGATAACTTAAATGACACAGGATAGCAGCTTATTAACCTCCCGTCTATATCTTTAAATGAACTGGAGGGAAAAGTCGAACTAACTGCTTCATTCCATAGCAGCGGAACGAGTTAGTAACTAGGAGTGGAGAACACACCAACTATGGACGATTGTCAAGCCAGCCAAGTTTGTCTGTCTTTCAGCACTTTAGGACCCGTTTTAAAAGGGAGTGAACGGCCTTATATTTCCCATGTGGTTACCTGCATTTTCCCGCTAGGGTGGCTGGAATGAATGCTCTCTGAGTGCCTTTAGTAACTGTCTCAGAATCTTTTATCCTCCTTAGGCATTTCAGAGTGTACGCTGCTTTTGAACCCAGTCCTAACTCCTCTTTGTTTTGCATGCACAATGGGAGCAAAACAAGGTGTGAAGGGAAATATGTACTCCTCTTCAAGGAGTCCGATCCCACCTGGCATGCAGCTGCTCCCGTCCCACCACACAGACTCCAGGATGTGGGTAGTTGCTAGTATCTGGCTCAAATGCCGTGTTATCTCTGAGCTGACATTGACCAGAGGAGACCCTGCTCCGTAATCTCGGTTGCTTTCCAGTTAGTCGAGGTAACATCTGTAATGTCTCCCATAGCAGCACCTTTGATTTTTCTCAATGGTGGCCTTCGTTGGAGCCAAAAAAGGAGGTAAATATCATCCAGCTGCCCTTCAGGTGCTCCGCTCCTTTCTATACGCTCTTCTTGGGAATTCTACATTTTTATCTTGGATAGCGACTTTTCCCTTGAGAAATTCTCATGGGTTCCCACTGGCTTCATGGTTAGATCTCATCCCACAGGCTCAGGAAGGAGAACAAAATAAAAATCAGTAAACGAGGGTCAGGGCAGAACTGGGTTTACGCTTGACGCAGCTGCTGCCCCCTGTGTCGAATTCTCCACATCTTTTCTTGAAACACGCAAGGCAAACTTCCCCATGGTGTTTTCCTGCCCCTGCCGGAGTCAGTTAGTTACATTTAGTGAGTGTGTGTGTGTGTAAAGAACTGTGCAACATGACAACATCAGTAGAGGCCCCTAAATGTTGCAGGAAGTAGGCGGAGAAGTTTGGAAGCAGTCTTGTGTTGAGTGTTGCATCTGTTTTTGCCCTGATTCGGTGAAATTTTCCTCTCTTCCTAACAACCTTGAGCTCTAAATGTCAGTCCAAACAAGTAGGTCTTGCAACATTTAAAAAATAAAAAAATGCTCTGGCTTTGCAAAAACATCTCCACTACCCTTCAGGGTTTGGTGTAGTGGTTAGGAGTGCAGACTCTAATCTTGGAGAACCAGGCTTGATTCCCCACTCCTTCACATACAGCTGATGGTGTGACCTTGGGTCAGTCACAAGTTCTCTCGGAGCTGTTCTCTCAAGGGTAGTTTTCGAAAGAGCTCCCTCAGCCCCAGCTACCTCACAGGGGGTCTGTTGTGGGGAGGGGAAGGGAAAGGAGATTGTAAGCTGCTCTGAAACTCCTTTGGGTAGTGAAGGGCAGGGTATAAATCCAATCTCCTTCTTCTTAAAAAGGAAGATGAAAGGATATGACAATAGTAACTTGAACTGTCTGAGTCAACAGGAGTTGGGCTTATAGGAGTCAGCAGCATGTAGAAAATGGATGGAGTTGAAAGGGAAATCCTTTCATTTCACACCAATCCTGCTTTTTTCTCCCTTTGAAACGCAAAACCTTTCCCCTGCTTTTTCCATTCTTCATCTTAGTGACGATTAGTCACATAAATAACAATATAATGTACCCGCCCCACCTCGTCAAATAAATCAGTTTTTCTTTTTAAAACTTAGTCAAAAAGAATGGTTGGGTGGCTCAAGTGGTTAAGACGCTTTTATTTCTCTGTCACATAAATAATAATATAACGTACCCGCCCCACCTCCTCAAATAAATCAGTTATCTTTTTAAAACTTAGTCAAAAAGAATTATGGTTGGGTGGCTCAAGTGGTTAAGACACTCAACTGCAGGCTGTGGAAGGTTAGTAGTTCAGCAGTTCGAGACCCAAGTGTGGCGCATGACGGAGTGAGCTCCCGTCTCTAGTTCCAGCTCCTGCCAACCTAGCAGTTCGAAAGCAAGAAATTGTAAGTAGATAAATAGGTGCCGCTTCGGTGGGAAGGTGACAGCGTTCCGTGCGCCTTGGTGTTTAGTCCTGCCGGCCACATGATCACGGAAAAGTCTTCGGACAGCGCTGGCTCTCTCCCCTGCCCTGCCTTGGAGAGCCCAGACTAGCCCGCCCTTGTCAGATCTTGGAAGCTAAGCAGGGTCAGCCCATGAATGGGAGACCATTGTGCGGGGGGGGGCAACAGTGGGAGGGCTCCTAGTGTGCTGGCCCCATTGCTGGACCCCCTGAGGGCACCCGGAATATTTTTGGCCACGGTGTGACAGAGTGTTGGACTGGATGGGCCACTGGCCTGATCCAACATGGGCTTCTCTTCTTATGTTCTTATATTCACTGAGGCAGTCCAGGGTCTTTAGGCAGAGGCACACAATGGCAAACCGCCTCTGAACCGTCTCTTGCCTTGAAAACCCTTCGGGGGTCACCATAAGTCAGCTGTGACTTAATGGCAAAAATAAACAGAAATGATGACCCAGCATTAAATAAACAGTATCAGCTCTCAGTGTTTGCCTGAGGCTGGGTCGGCCCTGTGAGCCACGGTTGGTCCAGGGTCCGGGAGGAACCAAGCGGAGTTAGACGCTGCTTCAGAAGTCACTGCACTTCTGGAGCGTCCGTGTGGATCGGGCCACTGAGGACCCCTTTTCTCCCTTCTCGCATCCCAACTGCAAAGAGACCGGGCGTGTCCTCCCTGGCGGCGTTTTCGCTCTCTTTGTTCACTCCCCTCCCCCTGGCCCGCCCCGCCTCCCGTGTCTTAAAGCAGAAGTGCCAGGGGACTGAGGCCAGCCCCTGAGGGCCCCCAGGCACATTTCCCCCACTTTTCCTCTTCTCGATCTGGCCAATGGCGGGGAGGTAGACGGGCGCCTCCTTCCCCATGCCCTCCTTTGACAGAGGGGGGGGGTGCCTTTGGCGGGGTGATGGGACGATCCCCGGTCCTCCGAGGAATCCTGGCAGGGGATCTCCGGCGTTGGGAGGTGGCTGTTCCGGAGTGCGCTCCTCGATGGGCGTGGTTGTCTCCCTGCCGGCCTCTCTCCTCTCGGACCCAGCTTCAGGGCTCAGCCCCTGCCGTTCTCCTCCCTGGTCCCCTGGGCCGCGGAGAGACAGGAGGAGGTCGAAAGGGGGCCCCCTCCTGACACAGCTTTTGAAGTAGCAGGTGGACTTCCCTGACTTGTCTGTATTTCTCAGACCCTTTCCAAAGAGCCTGCTCACGAGCGGTGGCCTTTCTCCAGCCTGCTTCCAAATGGACTCTAAATGCACAGAGAAGATTCATAATACATTCAAGTCCGTGCGTTTCACCCTCTCCCCCTGAAATGGAAAGAAATGTGGTTGATGCATATAACGGTTATCTGAAATAAGCATGGACCCCGAAGTAACGCTATATTGCAAAACATGGCTAACTGTTAAATAAAATCTTCTCCACCAACCCCCACCATTTGATCCTTAGGGAAGGGTATCACAACCCCCCAGTGTCTAGCGAGAACCTGATAGGACTCAGCCGGGCCCGTCGGCCCCACAACGCCGTCTTTGTCACCTTTGAGGACGAAGAGATCCCTTTGAAACCGCTGGATGCAGCCGAGCAGACCTGGAAGAGAGTGTGCAGCAATGCCATCGATCACAAAGCAGAGGAAGAACTGAGAAAAGTAGGCTGCCCCTGAAGGTTTCTTTTTGTGTCCTTTACGGGCACTCCTGTGTAATTTTGGAACACTTGTCTTTGGAAACACCACCCACTTCGGGCAGATATGTTCATCGGGGAGCTTGGGTGGCCTGCCACAACTCTGTTGTGAAAAGTATGGTTGGCAGGAGTCCTGGGTGTGCCACTGCGTCATGGGTAGAGTGGGCCTAAGCCTACGGAAAGAAGAAAATAGCACGGCTGGCCCAGCACGGCGAGGGGGTCTCTGTTTCCCTGATGTCACCCCTGTGACCGCAGAGGCATGTACACAGGCAGCCAAGTGTCCATATGAGTGCCGTGAGTGCACTTTCCAGTTTGGTGTAGTGGTTAAGTGTGCAGACTCTAATCTGGGAGAACCGGGTTTGATTCCCCACTTCTCCACTTGCACCTGCTGGTTGTCCTTGGGCATGCCATAGTTCTGGCACAGTTGTTCTTGAAAAAGAGCAGTTTCTGTCAGCTCTCTCAGCCCCACCTACCTCACAGGTGTCTGTTGTGGGGAAGGGAAAGGAGTTTGTAAGCCACTCTGAGACTCCCTTGGGTAGTGAAGGGCGGGGTATAAATCCAATCTCCTCTCCTCCTTCTTATCAGTTGCCTTTCCCCCTCCTGTCTTGCCAGTTGGAGGGCTTTTTCAGGCTTTTCTGGAATGTCCATGATTGCTGTTGCGCTATAGCATTATAACGCTGTATTAGACCATAGCGTTATAATGCATTACAACAATCTGCTGCTTCTTTTGAATTCCAGCTGGTTGCTAGGACCCAGCTAGGGGGCACCCCCTTTCCCTCTCAAACATGGCTTTCCTGCGCCTTTAAAGAGGCATTTTAGTGTGATGGTTAACAAGGAGGGTTTGCATGGGTTGGGGAAGATCCTGTTTTTCAGCCTGTCCCTTCACGCATTCTTGTATTTCGTTTTAGCTCTTTGAGGTCCGTCCCATCTGGTCGCGCAATGCTGTGAAGGCCAATATTAGCATTCATCCGGACAAACTGAAGTTTCTCCTGCCCTACTTAGCGTTCTACATGGTGAGTTGTGTTTTGTCAGAGTGGCAGTTCATTTTTCTTTCATTAAAAAAATATACTGTGAATAATCTAGTCGGCAATGGGACAGACGTTCTGTGGTTGAGGCAGCAATCAGAAATTCTGCCAGAAATCAGCCAGTTGAGGAGGAATCTAAAAAGAAAGAAATCTAAAAAGCTGCCACTACCACCACCGTGCGGGCTGATTGGCCATGGCATCCCCCCCCCTTTTTTTTGGACCCCATTGGGATATGCAATAGGGAGTAAGTATTGTAGTCATTATGTATCTTGTGAGATGTGCATTTTTGCCTAAACTGTTTTAACTGTTGACTTTTACTGCACTTGTGCCTTAATTGTTTTAACTTGTATTTTTATCGCACTTTTGTGCCTGTGTAAGCTGCCCTGAGCCCGCGTGTGGGGAGGGTGGGGTATAAATGAAATGAAATAAATAAATAAATAGTACTTAATTCAAAAAAGGTAAGCGGTGTTTGCCCTTCGGCTCAGCAATTGTCCTGATTGTCACAAGAACCCAGCTTCATCATTCTGAAAATGTCCCTGATGTTACCCATTCCTGGCCTGTTTGTACCAGCCCTCAACCGTCATGGAGCAAAAATAGCCATCTTTTGAAGCCGTAATTCATTATCTACCTGCAAGAGATGGAAAGGTACACCAGGAGCTGTTGTGTAGCTGTCTGGGAACAGTATGATAGTGCAGCAGCGAAGGGTGGAGATGGAGAAGGGCTGTGGTAAGACAGCTGTAACTGGTAGAAGTGCTGTTGAAACTAGTGCCCCTAATGTTCCATAACATCCTAAGAACATAAGAAGAGTCCTCCTGGGTCAGGCCAGTGGTCCATCTGGTCCAGCATCCCGTCTCACACTGCGGTCAACCAGTTCCTCTGGAGGGCCAAAAACAGGGCATAGAGGCCAAGACCTTCCCCTGATGTTGCCTCCTGGTTCTGGAGGTTCAGAGGTTTACTTCCTCTGTAAACCAACCAATGTTAGGAGGCTGGTTATGCTGCGGTGGCTCAAGTAGTTAAGACGCTGAACTGCAGGCTGTGGAAGGTCAGTAGTTCAGCAGTTCGAGACCCGGGGGCCGCATGACGGAGTGAGCTCCCGTCTCTAGTTCTAGCTCCTGCCAACCTAACAGTTCGAAAGCAAGAAATTGCAAGTAGATAAATAGGTACCACTTCGGTGGGAAGGTAACAGCATTCCGTGTGCCTTGGCGTTTAGTCATGCCGGCCACATGACCACTGAAACGTCTTCGGACAGCGCTGGCTCTTCGGCTTGGAAACGGAGATGAGCACCGCAACCCTAGAGTCGGATTTGACTGGCTTGCGAGCAAGGGAACCTTTTTACCTTTACCTTGTCAACCTGATCAGTTAACCTTTGTCACTCGGGAGGATTTTTCTCTTCCCTAAAACATGGGTATAGGTGTTAGGCTGGTGAGCGTTGCCATTTGTCTAGCTTGCGTGTGTTCCAGGAGAGCAAACACTCACGCAGCCAGCAGCAAGGGCCCCTGGAAGTTTTCAGTGACCTGCTTGGGTTACTATTAGCTTTGTGGATGGTTCTCAATAAATCTGGTTCTCAGCTTAACGGTGCACAGGCTGTGTCTGCTTGGAACACGGTTGGAGTCCCATGGCACCTTGAAGACCAAGAAAATTTTATTCTGGGCATAATAAGTGTTATCCTGGTCTTCAAGGTGCCGCTGGACTCAAACTTTGTTCCGCTACTTCAGACCAACCTGGCTGCCCACCTGAATGTGCCTGCTGGGGTTAGCTTCCTGTCTCCTCCTCTCCCTTATTGGCTGACACTGAAAGCTGCAGATTTTCTCTTGAAATCTTGTTGTTCTTCCAGTATGTGCAATTACAATTTTTGCGGTTGTCCAAGCATTTCATTTTTATTCTTGTGTGTGTTTTATGTGGATACAAAGTTATATCAGTTATCCCCAGAAAAACGTCTTTCTTGGAATGTGTCTCTGACAGAAGTAAAGTTTTGCATATTCTGTCTTGTTATCCAGCAGTAACTCTGAAAAATTCGGAGCACTGGTGGTGTGTGTGTGTGACATTCGCAAAGCAGGAAGCCAAGGGAACAAGAATATCAGACTTCTCTTTTTACAGTTATTTTTAATTTCGTTTATACCTGGTCTTTCTCCCCTCAAGGGACCCAAAGCAGCTGACATTGTTCACCTCACTTCCATTTTAGCCTCATGACACCAACCCTGTGAAGGTAGGCTAAGTTGAGAGTGACTGACTGGCCCGAGCCTACCAAGCAGACTTCCACGGCAGAGTGGGGATTCGAATCTGGGTCTCCTAGATCCTGGTCTGACTCTTCTACCACTCCACCAAGCTGGCTGTAAAGCACAACCAGCTCCTTGCTCGTTCCCTCTTCTCAGCAAGTGCGTATCACAGTCAAGAACACCAACAACTGGTCATGCCCGATTTTAAAGGGGACTGCAGACGCTTTCCAGTGCCAAAAGGCCTGAGGGTTGCCAGCACCTAGAGAGGCAGTTTGGTGTACTGGTTAAGTGTGTGAACTCTAATCTGGGAGAACTGGGTTTGATTCCCCACTCCTCCGCGTGCAGCTGCTGGTGTGACCTTTGGTCAGTCACAGTTCTCTCAGAGCTGTTCTCAAGAGGAGCTTTCAAAAGAGCTCTCAGCCCCACCTACCTCACAGGGTGTCTGTTGTGGGGAGGGGAAGGGGAAGGGGAAGGAGACTGTAGGCCGCTCTGAGACTGTTTTGGGTAGTGAAGAGTGGGGTATAAATCCAATCTCCTCCTCCCTCTCCTCCCTTTCCTCCTCCCTCAATGGTTTGGATCGCTCCTTGCCTATGAAATCCTGAGGCAGCCTTGAGCAAGCCTGTCTTGGCCCCAGCCCCTATCTCAGGGCTTGACAAATGCCCAGGTGCCAGGATGCCAAGGCGCCTAAAAATTTCACTGTGGCACTGAGGTCTTCAAGCAGTGATTTTACTGTAGTGTCTCTCAGTACTCCTCAGTAGTAGTACAAAGGGTATTATTTCACATCAGAATATGTTTAGCGACAGGACATAAAAATGCATGCACACAACTTTCATATCATTGTTTATGTTAACTTTACACCATTTACCAGTGGCAGATGAAGTCATTTCTTAATCGGTTGCATCTGAAACACAATTAAATGGTATGGTCCTTAAATTACAAAACCCTGAAGGCTGAAAAATGAGTCCGGCTCTTAGATTTTGGGTTAGAGCCAAAGAAAATTTGTCAAGGCCTGCCCATCTGCAGTATTGGGCTGATACCGGCCTACCATGCAGGACTGTTGTGGGATCAACTGCAAGTGTATGTTGAAAGACTTCAGAGTCTTCAGAGTGCTGCATAAATTCTGGATGTCGTCATTAACTAGACAACTAGGTTTTTGCAGCTGCAGGTCAAATGAGTGTAGTTGAAATGACATCTTTGGTCTGGGGCTGAGAATGCAGGTTTTGGAATTCTCTGTCTCAGCAAGCTCTTTCACACTGAATTAGAAATCGGCCTCCCTACTCTTTCTTGCAACCACATAATACATGCGCTCCTTTAGTTAACAGGACCCTGGAGGAGCCTGTGGGTTCGCTTTGGTTATGATCCCAGAAAACATCCAGAAGCAAAGATCTACCAGGTCCTGGACTTCAGGATTCGATGTGGAATGAAATATGGTAAATACAGGAACCAGCAGCCAAGGGGCTGCCCCACTTTAATGGCCATTGTCTTATGAGAATTGTGAAATAGCTGGTAGAATCATAAGCAATTTTTTTTTAAAGCATGTTTGGAGTATTGGTTGTTGCGAAGACAGATCTGAAAAGGCGTGTGGGTGATCCCTCCTGAAGCACAGCTCAGCCCAGGGAAAGGCAGCGGCCCAGTGGAAGAGCCTCTGCTTTGCATGTGCAAGATCCCAGGTTCAATCCCCGGCACCCCCAGTTAAAAAGGACGAGGTGGTAGGTGATGGGAAGGACCTCCACCTGAGACCCTGGAGAGCCGCTGCTGGTCTGACTCTGAGTAGACAATAGTGACCTTGATGGACTGATGGCCTGAGTCACTGTGAGGCAGCTTCAGGGGTGTTCCCAGCGCTCTCCTCCTCCCTGGCGGCTTCCAGCCCTTCTGTCCTTTAGAAGGTTCCTTTCTCATGTGGTCAGGGAAAAGGTCCACGTTCTGCAGTGCACCCCCCCCCCTGCCCCCAGTATAGGACTGGCTTCCCCACTTTTTCCTTTCTGGAGAAGGGGGCGTTTATCTAGCTGGCAAAGCCCCCCGTTTACCAGGCCTCACTGGGGAGAGGTATTATTGCAGCTCTCTTCCCCACACCGGAGTGGGGGAAAGAACGCCGCTAACTACTGCTGCTGCAGATGGGAATCTGCTGGTTTTAAGTCTTCAAATTTAGCTTCCCTGCATTTTCAGCAAATCTGGGAAAGGGCCGTTCAGGGATTTTGCCTGACTTCTCTTTGCCCCTCGATTTATGTGGGAGCTCAGTGAACATTTCAGGAAAAGTTAAACTGGTAGTTAAAAGATGAGTAGCCGTGTTAGTCTGTCTGTAGCAGCAGCAGCAGAAGCAGTAGAAAAGCGCAAGAGTTCAGTAGCTCCTTAAAGACTAACAAAATTCGTGGCAGGTGAGGAGCTTTTGTGTGCCACTGCTCACTTCTTCAAGATGGCCAGCCATGTTCGTCTGTCTGTAGTGGTAGAAAAGACTAGAGCAAGTGTTCAGTAGCACCTTAAAGACTAACATGATTTGTGGAAGGCGAGGAGCTTTCGTGCGTCACGGCTCACTTCTGCTCTTTTCCACTGGTAGTTAAATGATTACAGTAAAAAGAGGTAGGGGGAAGATGAGAAAATAGTCATTAACTGCTGCGGAGTGTGATTTTCTCCTAGACCGCTCATGTTGGAAGGAGAAGCATAGTGGTTGGAGTGCTGGATTAGGCCTGTAGAAACCCCCTTAGTGAGTTCTGGTCAGTTTGTTTCTTGGCCTGACCTACCTCAGGGAATGGTCACAAGAATGACCTGGGGTGGGGTGAGGTAGTCTCCTGCATCCCTGGTTTGTCTAGCAGGCCCTCATGCCTTGAAGGGGTGGGAAACCAAAGGACCTCCCTTTCCTTTATCTTAGCCACACTTTTGTATGAGCAAGAAAGTTTGCCCTGCTTACAGGACCTCTTGCATTCTCACAAGGGACCCTTCTTGTGTCTCAAGCGACCCCTCCCTCTGTCTGCATATCAGTGGTTTCTGTCTTTGAGAGTGGTCCTCAGCATGTCCTGATCTCTCTCACTAACAAGCAGTGTTCCCTCTAAGGTGAGTTAGCGTGAGCAAGCTCACAGTTCTTTAGCCTCCGGCTCACACATTTTTGCCTTCGCCCGGGAAGGACGGCTCCAGAGCAAGCTAATTTATGCAGTAGCCAAATCGCTCGCTCACAACTTTCATGCCAGTAGCTCAGAAAGTAGAATTTTTGGCTCACGAGACTCCACAGCTTAGAGGGAGCGTTGGTAACAAGTCAGCAAAACGTCGTCTCCTGCGGGTGCTCTTCCTGATCCCCTTTTCCTTTACGAAAACGTGTGTTTCCTGCAGGGTATGCGCCGAACGACATGCCCGTGAAAGCCAAACGCAGCACGTACAACTACAGTCTACCGATCACTGTGAAAAAGCCAGGTATGCTCTGTGAGCGCAAGGCAAGGGTGGGGGAATGGTGGGGTATTCATTGCTGTGGGCTCTAGTGAGAAATGTGAATGGTGGGACCTGCTTGTCATCAATGGGCCATTTGGGCTACCTCATTGCGGCGGGCCCTGAATGAGATGAGCATGGATATTTGAAGACACGGGGGTGGGGTGGGGACGAATGGAAAAAGATTATGAAAAGATGTTTGGGCTGTTTGTTTGTTTTCTGTTGGAAAAACTGGAAGTAGTGGGGAGCAGTGTTCCCTCTAAGGTGAGTTAGCGTGAGCAAGCTCACAGTTCTTTAGCCTCCGGCTCACACATTTTTGCCTTCGCTCAGGAAGGAGGGGCTCCAGAGCAAACTGATTTATGCAGCAGCCGAATCGCTCGCTCACAACTTTAATGACAGTAGCTCACAAAGTAGGATTTTTGCTCACGAGACGCCACAGCTTAGAGGGAACACAGGTGGGGAGCAGTGTTCCCTCTAAGCTGAGTTAGGGTGAGCTAGCTCACAGTTTTTTAGCCTCTGGCTCGCACATTTTTGTCTTGGCTCAGGAAGGACAGCTCCGAAGCAAACTAATCTATGCTGCAGTCAAATGACTCGCTCACGACTTTAATGCCAGTTGCTCACCAAGTAGAATTTTTGCTCACAGGACTCCACAGCTTAGAGGGAACACAGGTGGGGAGTGGTGTTTTTTGGGGAAATTCCTATAACATGTTTTCTCTTTCAAAATGAATGAAATGCTTTTTTAAAAGGGCAACATTTTTTAAAAGGGTAACACGAAGGTTACGTAAGATGATGGGCAGCATTAGATAATGATAATGTCTGCGTATGCTGTAGATATACAGAATATTTTCATGAGTATGCTGCAGACATATACAGGATATTTTCAAGCATATATATATTGTTGAAATCTGACTAATGTTGTTTGCAGTTATATGCTGTATGTGTTATAATACACTATTGATTAGACCAGAGAGTGATTAAAAATGTGGAATTTGCTACCAGAGGATGTAGTGATAAACCGCTTTAAAAGGGGATTAGATAGATTCATAGAGGATAAGTCTGTCAATGGCTACTAGCCCATGGTGACTGTGGGGAACCTCCACATTCAGAGGTACTAAACCTCTGAATCCCAGAGCCAAGAGGGAACATTGGGGAAGGCCTCAGCCTCTGTGCCCTGTTGTTGGCTTTCCAGAAGAACTGGATGGCCACTGGGTGACACAGGATGCTGGACTGGGTGGGTTATTGGTCTGAACCAGCAGGGCTGTTCAGTGTTAGAAAAAGCTGTTATGCAAATATTTTGCTAGCCCTGTTATGATGGCATGAGTTCCTGCTCAAATAACACAATTTTGCTTTACTAGAAACTTTTTGTTATCTATTTTCAATATTTCCCCCAATCTCTCAGAAGGCAAAAAATAAGATACAAGCAGAAGAGTGCAGCAGTTTCTCTCTCTCTCTCTTTGGACTCAGAGGGTATCCTCAGATTTTTTTGCATGTAGAAAGTTATGGCATTTATACTTTTTAATTCATAAATTTGTGAGTAACTGCAAAGTAAATTGTAAATGATTTTTTAAAATGTTGTAGTTGTTGTTCAGTCGCACAGTCGAGTCCGACTCTTCGCGACCCCATAGACCAGGTCACGCCAGGCCCTCCTGTCTTCCGCCGTCCTCTGAAGTTGGCTCAATTTCATGTTCATTGCATCTATGACACTGTCTAACCATCTCATCCTTTGCCGTCCCCGTCTTCTTATTAGGGTGTACATATGAATAAAACATCCATCAAGTTAAAAGAAGTAGTCTAAATATCAGACTCTAAAAGCTTGTAACATTGAAAACTGCTTATTATACATATCTCATAGATGGGTAAAACTTTTGACATACAAATTTCTCTTTTTTTCTAAACAGAAAATAAAACCTCAGTGGTGTTTTCTTTTTCCAATCCTTTCAAAATTCCCAGAAGTGTTACATCTCCAGATGAATACGAAAGTTGTCCTTTGGGGAAAATTTGCCATCTCAGTTTTGTCTGTTGTCGACCGTGTATTCAGGAAACTGACTGTGCTGGGGGACACCTAAGAACAGAAGGTTTTCCTTCCCCAACACAGACTGAAAGAGAGGGGGAAGGCCTTGCCTTGCACTGTGTTTTTGATGTCCTAATGCGGCTGGGGCCTGTTCTCCTGCCTTTTTCAGCAAGTCACGCGGCCGGCATCCAAGACCTGAAGCAAGGGCTGAGCACATCGGGGACCCCCAGCCCAAGAAAGCCCGCTTTTAGCAAGTACAAACTGAAGGTCAGTCTTGCTTTCTGTGTGCAGGTCCCGGCTTCGCTCGTTCTTGTACGGGTGCTGTCGGAAGAAAATCCCGCTCCGGACGGCTGATGTCCTTTTCTGACCCCTAGACTGACCAGGGTCTTTGAAGACGGGATGGGGGACGTGCATAGTGACCAGTTTGCAGAAACTCTCTTGGGGCTTCCTCTCCCTTACTGTAGTCATTGAAAATAGGAAGCCAGGGCAGGCTTGGAGTAGGCGATATGGAAAGGAAGGAGCCCAGGGTAGCAGGTTAGTGTAGCCACACCTGATGCAGAGGCACTGCCCTTGAGTGCAATTAGGCCTGTCGGGGTCTGGTGTCACATGTGGCTGTAGTGTGGATAGATGGCACAGGTAAATGACCCAATGAGGAAACAGTGGGTTACCCGCCTCTTCTCCCAGTCGATAGAGCTTTTCGGAAGGCGAGCGGGCCAAGGTAGGAGCATCATAACCAGCTTGTAGATTTCCAGCCTGCCAGGTGTGCGTGTGAAGGAGGACCAGTTTGGTGTCGTGGTTAAAGTGCGCGGACTCTAATCTGGGAGAACCGGGTTTGATTCCCCCACTCCTCCACTTGCACCTGGCTGGATGACCTTGGGCAAGCCATAGTTCTGGCACAGCTGTCCTTGAAAAAGAGCAGTTTCTCTCAGAGCTCTCTCAGCCCCACCTACCTCACAGGGGGTCTGTTGTGGGGAGGGGAAGGGAGAGGAGGTTGTAAGCCGCTCTGAGACTCCTTTGGGTAGTGAAGGGCAGGGTATAAATCCAATCTCCTCCTCCTCTTCATCTCCCTCTTCTTCTTCTTCGAAAAGGGTGTGGAGATGCATGGCCAAGGTGTTTGGGAAGGATGGGATTGGGTTAGCTGGCCAAGGAATTCTCCCAGCCTGGGTTCTTCAGAAAGAATGGGCTGCCAAAGGTGAATAGGAAGGACGTGATGATGGATGAGGGCTCCCCCCCCCCAATCCCCCACCACACTGAGCCGAGGCCTTCTCGAGTGAAACACAACCTGGGAATCCTTGAACCCTGTCCTGGGATAAGTTGTGTTTGTCTTTAAGATGCCACTGGACTGCTGTCATATTTTGCTGCTACACACTAACCAGGCTACCCATCTGGCACCCCGGCTACTGTTTTTCTCACCTCCCCCCCACCTTAGGATTCGATCTACATCTTCCGAGAAGGGTCCCTGCCTCCCTACCGACAGATGTTCTATCAGCTCTGTGACTTGAACGTGGAATGGTACGTAGCACCGCTCTGACCCTTGGGATCTGCTCTGTTGTCTCTCCGTCTGTCGCGCCGTTTGTGCTCTTGCTGGTACAGACCACTGATGCAGACCCTGGAAATTTGTTTGGGGGGGGGTGGAGTTCAGCAGAACCTAAGAAATAGGAATAGTGGGGGGTCTGCAGTTGGGAGAGGGAATTCGGACATCAATGGCCAGCCCCCCTTAAGAGACCTTAACAAGTTTCAATGTTGTATGCGTGTGCTGTTTAAAGGTAAAGGTAAAGGTTCCCTTGCTCGAAAGCCAGTCGAATCCGACTCTAGGGTTGCGGTGCTCATCTCCGTTTCAAAGCCGAAGAGCCAGCGCTGTCCGAAGACGTTTCCGTGGTCATGTGGCCGGCATGACTAAACACCAAGGCGCACGGAACGCTGTTACCTTCCCACCGAAGAGGTACCTATTTATCTACTTGCAATTTCTTGCTTTCGAACTGCTAGGTTGGCAGGAGCTGGAACTAGAGACAGGAGCTCACTCCATCATGCGGCACCCGGGTCTAGAACTGCTGAACTGCTGAACTACTGACCTTCCACAGCCTGCAGTTCAGCGTCTTAACCACTTGAGCCACCGCAGCTCCTCATGCGTGTGCTGTTTACCCAGTGCCAAATCAAAGAGAGGAGGAGAGCTACAGTCTGTCTGTGTGTGTGTGGGGGGGATGGGATGGAGTGGAAGGGGGAGGGGTAAGAGGCGAGCATTCTCCCATCCCCCCACCCTCCCCTCCTGCTCTGAAATACCACGTTACCCCTTCACACGCACCTGAAAGTGTCACTGTGACAGGCACACGTTTTCCAGTCCGTGCATCGTACCAGCGTATGCATCCAGGCATCATGATTTGGGCCACCGCTTCACACTGATCGTTACAAGCCTGGGTTTGCCTCTGATTCAGTTTTAGGGTTGGCTATAACGTTTCTTCCAGTAACCACTTGGGGCTTTCGATCAATTTACTCATCGAACCCCGGGACTTCCTTTCCAAGGGAGCCCTGGATATTTTAAAGCCGGAAGCCAATGAGTTAATGGTTCACACTGCCGGCTTGGCACATCCACCTGCGAGAGACCCTGGCTCAGTGGCAGAGCATCTGTTTTGGGTGCAGAAGGTCCCAGATTCAATCCTCAGCATCCCCAGTCAAAAAAAGGATCAGACAAGAGGTGATGAGAAGGACCACTGCCTGAGACCCCGGAGAGCCACTCTCAGTCAGTAGATAATACTGACCTTGACGGACCAATGGTCTGGTTCAGTAGAAGGCAGCTTCAGTTTCACGAGCCTTTGCTTCTTCCAACTTAGAGCTCTTTCCTTCGGTCTGTCCAAGAGCAGGGCCGGCCTTTTGGAGCGCCACCCTGAGTAGTTCAGCCCTGTCCTGCGTGGGCGGGGGTGAGCCTGAGCTTGGTCTCTCTTCAGCTTGCAGAAGATCATCCACAGGAACGACGGCACCGAGGCAGTGTGCACAGTACGGGGGGGGGGGTGGGGGGGGGGGGGAGATGGCAGACCGGTGTGGCACCTGGCGTGAGACCCAGCGTGATGTCATGGTTAAGAGCGCTGGACTCTAATCTGGAGAACCGGCTTTGATTCCCCACTCTTTCTCCACATGCAGCCTGCTGGGTGACCTTGGGTCAGTCACAGTTCTCTCAGAGCTCTCTCAGCCCCACCTACCTCGCAAGGTGCCTACTGTGGGGAGAGGAAGGGAAGGCGATTGTAAGCTCCTCTGAGACTCTTAAGATAAGAGAAAAGCAGGGTATCAAGACTCTCTCTTCTTCTTCTTCACCTAGCATATATGGAAGAAGAAGAAGAGACTGGATTTCTACCCCGCCCTTCATTACCCGAAGAAGTCTCAGAGTGGTTTACAATCTCCTTTCCCTTCCCCTCCCCACAACAGACACCCTGTAGGTGGGGCTGAGAGAGCTCGACAGAAACTGCTCTCGAGGGAGCAGCTCTGAAACAACTTGTGACCGACCCAAAGTCACACCAGCAGCTGCATTTGGAGGAGTGGGGAATCAGACCCAGTTCTCCCAGATTAGAGTCCGCGCTCCTAACCACTGCATGAAATTATCTCTCCGTTTGTGATGCTGTGGGCACTAACTTTGCGTTCCTCAATAAATGCTTCTGAGACTTGGCATAGCCCTTCCAAAGTGTCCGAAGCATTCTCAGGGATCCTCACAGCAGCAGCCAGCCTGTTGGATTAGATCGGTGCTGTGATGATCCTGCTGTTGCAGATGTGGTCCTGAGCAATGTTCCCTCTAAGCTGAGTTATTGTGAGCTAGCTCACAGTTTTTTACCCTCCGGCTCACACATTTTTGTCTTCGCTCAAGAAGGAGGGCTCCAGAGCAAACTAATTTATGCAGTAGTCAAATCGCTCGCTCAGAGCTTTAAGGCCGGCAGCTCACAAAGTAGGATTTTTTGCTCCCAAGACTCCACAGCTTAGAGGGAGCATTGGTCCTGAGGCTGAGCCAGTGGCTTGCCGGAGCTCTCCCTCTTTCCTGCCCTGATGCTGCACCTGCTTCTGCAGCCCTCCCCTCTTTCCTGCCCTGATGTCACAACAAAACCAGCCCAGCTGCACTGAATTCTTTCCCTTCACACGTTCGAGCAGAGGGCCCCCATGTGGTGCCCGTGGGCGCCAGGGCTAGAGATATGAAGACCTGGGGGGAAAACGGAAAAATTTGGGGGGGAAATCGGGTTTTTTCTGAGTTTTTCCTGAAGTCTTTTTTGTTTTTTTCCAAAAAATTGGAAAAATTGAAAAAAGAAAAGAAAGAAAAGTGATTATGGAACGTTTTATTTTAACAGGATGAATAAAATATTTCAAGACAAGGTGTTCAGATACTTTACAAATCATTTCTAAAAAATATGTATGGTATCAGATTGATCTAATTTCTGTGCACTGAGGACAAGCAAGTCCTAGGTTGCAAACTGAACTCTCCAATGCAAGAACAAGATGCATTTCTTCATTTAGGAGGAGCTATTGTCACAAGAAAAGAAAAAGGTTTCAGTTTTGTTTTTGCATGTGGGTGGGTATTCTGTTTGCAATAATTGTTTGGATACACTATATTTTTAATAGGCTAGTTGTGATAATTTCATGCCAAGTAAAAATGTCCATAGTCATATTTTATGTTCCTTCAAAATTCCTGAAAATTTTACATCTCTAGCCAGGGTCCCCACCAAGTGTTTTGGGAATGTGGGTGTGGCCGGGAGGGGCTTTTGCCCTGCAGAGCTTCTGGGGAGCCCCTGGAGAGTCGATGGGCTGCGCCGCGTTTTAAAAATGTTGCTTCAGCAGCAGCGGCCGCCAAAGCACAGGGATCTTCACTGTGTCGCTGGAGGGAAGGTGCGGCAGCCGTTTTGTGGCCGGGCCCACCACCGCCCTGCGTTAGAATCCCAGAGGTGCCCCCGCTGGCTCGGAAAGGCCGGGGACCCTGCAGGTAGAGACACCTGCTAGAAAACCAAACGGGTTGTGGTTTTGGGTCTCCCCGTGACTGAATGGCAGGCCTCCCCTGCTCTCAGTGCTCAGTCCTTTCCCCTGATTTGTTTCAGCTCTGTTCACAACCGCATCAAATGCCGAAGAGGGCAAAGAGCAGCTAACCTTTGAGTCCGGGGAGGAGGAAGAAGAGGAGGAGGAGGAGGAGGAGGAGGAAGAAGATCGGCCCTCGGACGGGAGTGAAAACGAGATGGAAACAGAGATTCTGGACTACGTGTGAACGGACGTTGCTGACCTCTGGTGGCGGGGGGGGGCGCTTCGGCTTCCCTCATTCCAGCAATTTGCTGGCGAGCCCACTTGATCTGCAAGACTCGATCCGACACATGCCGATCCATCTACGATTGACCTCGATGCATGCCACCCTGAGGTTTGTCCTGAACTAGAGATGTGAAGGTCCGGAAAAAAACCAGAAAAATTAGGAAAAAAACGTTTTCCACCCGTTTTTTTCCTGCAGGCTTTTCTGGTGTTTTTTTTTTTTTTTTGAAAAATTGAAAAAAGAAGAGAAAAAATTGATTATGGAACGTTTTATTTTAAAATAAATATTTTAAGACAAGGTGTTCAAATATTTTCCAAATCATTTCTAATATATATATATATATGGTATCAGATTGATCTAATTTCTGTGCACTGAGGATAAGAAAGTCCTAGGTTACAAACTGAACTCTCCAATGCAAGAACAAGATGCATTTCTTCCTTTAGGTGGTGCTATTGTCAGAAGAAAAGAAAAAGGTTTCAGTTTTGTTTTTGCATGTGGGTGGGTATTCTGTTTGTAACAATTGTTTGGATACACTATATTTTTAATATGCTAGTTGTGATAATTTCATGCCAAGTAAAAATGTCCATAGTCATATTTTATGTTCCTAAAATAACAGAATGACTTTCAATCTAGAAAAGGCAAAGGAAATGCTAATGTGGCATTTTTTTCAATTTTTCCGAAAATTTCCGTTTAAAAAAACAACAACAAACACTGGAAAAAACCCGGGTTTTTTTCCGAGCTTCAAAATTTCTGGTTTTCATCTGTATCCTGAACTCAGTCGGCCAGCGTGGAGTCGGTGGCCTCTGCTCGCAAGCCAGGCCGTCCTCGTCGTCCCCCTTGGGCCTTGCTCTTTCTCACATTTCTTTGCAAGAGCGCCTCTTCTTCAGCGGCCTGCTGTCTGCTTCCTTCTACGTGCCGCTCTGCTACTTCTCAGCCTGCTGATGCCCGGGATCAACCAGGGGCTGAGGACATTCGATTCCAGTGCAGATGCGCTCAAAGGCAGCTGCCGTGTCAGTCACACGTATGTCTGCCCTCTGGATCGCTGCAAGGGAGACCCGGGTAACAGCAATTTGGCTGTGCAGACCGCAGGGACAGAGTTGATAAAAAAAGGGGCTTCAATGTTTGATGGAGGCTCCGGAGCATTTCGAAACAAACTGAACTCTCTGAAGCCGGCTCTCATCTTGATGTTGTCTTTTCCTTGTTAAAAAAAACCCCTTTGTTTTGTGTCTCCAAGAACATTTTGTTCTGTGACAGTTTTTTGAACAATTTGTTTTCAAAGTGTTCTGTCCAGTGTCGTTAGGCGTAGCTTCTAGGAGGCAATTAAAATGCGGACAAGGGATTTAAACTAACTTACATCATTGTGTCTCTTTCTGTCCTGCGACTTACCAGTGTCCATCATCGCACTCACTTTTGAGACCTCTGTTACCTGGTCTCTTTCTTTCCTCAGATCTGGTGGTCGTGCGCGTGGTTGGCAGGCCAGTCACCGCAAGACTTGCCTTCATTTCATGCAGCCGACCCTTCAGCACGGGAATCCTAGAATCACAGAGTCGGAAGGGGCCATACGGGCCCTCTAGTCCAACCACCCGCTCAATGCAGGATCAGCCGAGAGCAGTGTTCCCTCTAAGCTGAGTTAGCGTGAGCTAGCTCACAGTTTTTTAGCCTCCGGCTCACACATTTTTGTCTTAGCTCAAGAAGAATGGCTCCAGAGCAAACTAATTTATGCAGCAGCCAAATCGCTCGCTCACAACTTTAGTACCAGTTGCTCACAAAGTAGAATTTTTGCTCACAAGACTCCACAGCTTAGAGGGAACATTGGCCGAGAGCATCCCTGACAACTGTTTGTCCAGCCGCTGCTTAAGGACTGCCAGTGAGGGGGAGCTCACCGCCTCCCCAGGCAGCTGATTCCACTGTCGCACAACTCATACTGTAAAAAGGTTTTTCCTAAGTTCCATCCGGTCCCTTCCCACCCTTAATTTAAACCCACGCTTGCGAGTCCTCTGCTGCCAAGAGTCACAGCTCCCTGCCCTCCTCTAAGCGATAGCCCATCCAATACTTAGAGAGAGCCATCCTGTCCCCCCTCAACCTCCTCTCCTCCAGACTGAACATTCCCAGGTCCCTCAGCCTTTCCTCCTAGGGCTTGGTCTCTGTTATCAATGTTGCTGATCCACAGGCCAGAAGGCAAGGCTGGGTGTGAAATTCAGCTTCGGGAGACTCTTGGTGGTGGTGGTGGAAGGTGCCGGCAAGTGGCAGCCGGCTTGTGGGTTTTCAAGGCAAGAGACGCTCAGAGGTGGTTTGCCTCTGCATAGCAACCCCGGACTTCCTTGGCGGTCTCCTGTCTGAGTGCGAACCAGGGCCCCACTCGGCTCAGCTTCCGAAATCTGACAAGGTGGGGCTAGCCTGGGCGACACTCTAATCCAGATAGCTGGAAGGATTGAAACCTCAAACCAGAGAAGTGGCGAGTTAAGATGCCCAGCATTTTGGGTTGGTAATTCAGTTCCTGGCACAATTTCTGGACCTTTCCTGGGGATGAACTTTGCAAAGTAAAAATTATGCTAACAACCTGAATTTTGCATAACTTATACCCATTGTCATGTTTCAGCTCAGAAGTCATGATCTTTAAAGCACCCCGGGCTGTTCTTTTTGTCCTGAATGTGCCTCTGCACCCGACGCCCCTCTTAAAATCAACCACGTTGTAACCGCTGCCAGATCTGATGCTTCTGGGACCCAAGGATTGGAAATACTGGTGCAGGAAGACCTGGGCGGCACAAGTGTGTGGCTAACCACCTTTGGCCCTGTTCCCTAAAAACATAATGCTGGTGCTCAGAATGGATTTTGAAAAATCCACCTGTCGTTTTGCCTATTTGTGTTGTTTTATTTCCCTCCTCCTCCTTTAGATAGCTCCTGGAAGGTGTGTGAGGCTGCCAGCTGTTGGATTGGGGGGGGGGGGGGGGGATCCGCCTGGATCAAGGACCCCCCCCCCCCCGGCTTCTATTTACCTTGGAAATTCCAGCCAAAGTGTTTTGGCAGCCACCAGATTCTTCAGCAGGGGTGGCGGCTGTTCCCTCGGCCTGTATAGAGCTCTCTTGACCAGTGCTCAGGGTATAAAGGCAGGCATCGGGCGCAGTGGCCAAGTCTTCCAGTGGAGGGTGCACCATGGCTCGCTGGGAGGTTGTGTGCCTGTCCCTCGCCTTCTGCCTGGGGGCAGCGAGGGCTGCAAAGGTCAGTGAAGGGGAGGGGAGATGGCAACTGATGGTCCAAAAACCCTTTTGTCCAGCGGCTCGCTTGAGAGGAGAGGGACCTGGCTGGCTCTCCTTCCGCCGTTGGTCTGAAGAGCCGGCTATAACGCTTGAGGGCTCTTTCAGTTTGGTTTTGTTGGCATTTTCTTCAGCAGCACCCCCTGTGCTGTGTAGCAAACTGATTTTTAAACTTTCGGAAAGTGGCTTTTTTTTTGTATCATTTTTTTTATTTTAAAGCCAAAAACAAACAAAAAAGGGGGGGAAATTATTCTTACAGTTCCCTGTTTGACAAACTCATGCCTAATTGATCATACATTTATATATTTCACCTTGTATCATTATGTACATCGCTTGCAGGTATATTAAAATTGTACTTTATATATCCTTAACAAGTTTAAAATGCCTGTATAATTTACTGATTGTAGTCTTCGAACCACTTATAAAACCTTGACCATGTGTTTTGAAATGTGGATTCTGGTTGTCCTTTCAAAGTTGAAAGTTAATTTGTCCATTTCCAAAATTTTGCTTAAAATTTCTTCTCTCGAAGGCGTTTCTGTTCTTCTCCAATAGTTAGCGTAAATCATTCTAGCAGTTGTAGTCAAATGCAATATAAAATAGGAGTCGGGTTTTTTACAGTTTTCAGGTAAGAGATTCAACAAAAATATTTCTGGAACAAAGGATACAGAATATTTTAATTTTTTTTTTGTAAAATTTCATGAATCCAAGCCCAGGGTTTTTTTGTGTGTGTGTGTGTGTTTTTTTTTGCTTTATCACATAACCACCACATATGGTAAAAAGATCCGACATTATTTGACACTTCCAACATGGAAGTAGTTGTGGGTATTTGTGTGCAAGTGTTCAAAGGAGACTGGGGAGAAATTTAACTGGGTTCTTGCGAAGCCAACATGACCTTTCCGGATGTCTGTGGAGGCCCCTCTAGTACCATAGCTGTTGTGTTCTGGTGGCACAGGAAGTGGCTTTATTCTGAGTCGGACCCTTGGCCCATCCAGGTCGGTCTTGTCGACTCAGACTGGCAGCAGCTCTCCAGAGTCTCAGGTGGAGGTCTTTCCCATTGCCTACCACCTGAACCCTTTTAAGTGGAGATGGTGGGGATTGAACCTGGGACCTTCTGCATGCCAAGCAGAGGCTCTTCCACTGAGCCAGGGTCTCAGGCTGAGGTCTTTCCCATCGCCTACCGCCTGAACCCTTTTAAGTGGAGATGCTGGGGATTGAACCTGGGACCTTCTGCATGCCAAGCAGAGGCTCTTCCACTGAGCCAGGGTCTCGGGCTGAGGTCTTTCCCATCGCCTACCACCTGAACCCTTTTAAGTGGAGATGCCGGGGATTGAACCTGGGACCTTCTGCATGCCAAGCAGAGGCTCTTCCACTGAGCCAGGGTCTCAGGCTGAGGTCTTTCCCATCGCCTGAACCCTTTTAAGTGGTGATGCCGGGGATTGAACCTGGGACCTTCTGCATGCCAAGCATAGGCTCTTCCACTGAGCCAGGGTCTCAGGCTGAGGTCTTTCCCATCGCCTGAACCCTTTTAAGTGGAGATGCCGGGGATTGAACCTGGGACCTTCTGCATGCCAAGCAGGTGCTCTAACACTGAGCTACAGCCCCTCCACCGCCATACCCTGAGTCAAACCACCAGTTTGTCAAGGTCGGTCTTGTCTGCTCAGACTGGCAGCGGCTCTCCAGGGTCTCAGGCTGAGGTCTTTCCATCGCCTACCACCTGATCTTTTTTGCTGGAGATGCTGGGGATTGAACCTGGGGCCTCCTGCATGCCAAGCAGATGCTCTCTCACTGAGCCACTGCGATTGTTTTTATCCACCAATGCCTCCTCCTTTCATGGTGAGTATTGAGAAACTGGGATAGGCTTTCCTTTTCCCATGTAAAACTTCGGTGGACCTCCAGATGGCCCCTGGGTTTTGGCCACTGACGCAGAGTGTTGGACTGGATGAGCCATTGGCCTGATCCAACACGGCTTCTCTTATGTTCTGGTTTATCGCTGTCGCCTGTGAGTTCTGACCTGACTGTTGTGATTATGTTGAAGAGTCCATGATATTTTTCTTTTCTCTTCTGGCGTGAGTTTAGCTGGGCATTGTGAGCACGGAGGGAGGCTTCGTCGAAGGGGTTAATAAGAAGCTGGGCCTCTTTGGGGACTATGTGGATATCTTCAAGGGAATCCCTTTTGCTGCGCCTACGAAGACCCTCGAAGACCCCCAGCCACACCCTGGCTGGCCAGGTAAGGGTCTCTCTACTTCCTTCTGGTTCGTAGCATCTTAAATGACATACTGGCTTTGGCGACTTATATTGCACTGTTGGATCGTATTATGGCAGCCCTGTAAAACAGGTCAGTACTATGTTGCTCATTCCTGTCCTGGGTTTGAGTAGATCATGGAGGGGCCGCGGCTCCGTGGTAGAGCACAGCTGTGCGTGCACCTTACCAACCAGCTCAAGTTGTATACTTTTTCTTACTTTGTGCTCTTTAGTCTGGTTTTTTTTTTGCTAGCAATGGTGCTGAATGCCTTGAGTAACGAGGGATCATTCCCCATTCCTTCTGCCACGTCACCTAGTACTTGTAACTAGCAACCTGCTTTGGGATGTACTCTTCCCATGACAGAAATAATTGTCTTAAAATGTTACACCTTCTGGCTGCATAGTGGAAGTCAGAAAGGGTCAAAATCTTATTCCGCGATCTGAGGTCTTCTGCAGGCCTTGCCAGAGAACTCTCAAGACTACCTTGGCAGCAAGAAACTTGCTTCTTTGCTGTTTAAAACAAAACAAAAAACCTGGAAGTCCAGTTTCTCAGGAAGCTAGCCTTTGCAGTCAGTATTGCATTAAGTCCCTTCTTCTGAGTTCTGGAAGAACTGCCGCATCCTAGGTTCTGGGACTGGATATCTTATAATGCAGCTGCAAGCTGAACGTGGCCAAAATCTGTGACTTTCCACAGCCCTGCATGCCCCATCAGGGTCCATCTAACCCTGCAGTATTCCACACATCCAACTAATTCAGGAGGCTAGTTTTTATGATGCGTGGCCTCCCACAAGGTTGGGGGTGGGTTATTAAGCACCAGTTATTAAGCCAGTTTGGTGTAGTGGTTAAGTGCGCGGCCTCTAATTTGGGAGAACCGGGTTTGATTCCCCACTCCTCCACTTGCCCCTGCTGGATGGCCTTGGGCAAGCCATAGTTCTGTCAGAGCTGTTCTTGAAAAAGCTGTTTCTGTCAAGAGCTCTCTCAGCCCCACCTGCCTCACAAGGTGTCTGTTGTGGGGAGGGGGAGGGAAAGGAGTTTGTAAGCTGCTCTGAGACTCCTTTGGGTAGTGAAGGGTGGGGTATAAATCCAATCTCCTCTTCTTCTTCAGTTTAAATCATACAGTTTTGCTTGCTGATAAGAAAAACGTTTTGACATTTTCACTAAACGTCGTGGGACCCCAGTTCCCACACAGTTGTGTCCTCTCCATTGCTTCTGCAGCGCATCTGCTAATGCAGGTGTGAGCAGAGGTCATTTTGGGGGGGATCGCGGGGGATCGCAGTTCCCCCGGGTGAGGTACGGGGGGGGGCACATGACGAAGCCCCGCCCCCTGCTTCCGGCCGCCCCGCTTCCGGCCCTCATTCAGCCAGGAGGAGGCAGGAGAAGAGGGAGGGTAAGTTGCTTCCTCCCTGCCTCTCCCCACCCCTGCCTGCCTGGGGCCAGGGAGGGCCTTCGCGGGGCTTCCTTGCACTCCCACCGGCCTTGCAGGTCCACCGCCGGGCCCCTCATGGGGCTCGGCAGTGGAGCTGCAAGGCCGGCAGCGGTGGCCGGGACCGTTGGGGGCAGGGTGTGTGGCCTTATGACACACTTCCGGTGATGTCAGGGGGTGTGGCCTAACCCTAACCCTAACACTTCCGGTGATGTCAGGGGGTGTGGCCTAACCCTAACCCTAACACTTCCGGTGATGTCAGGGGGTGTGGCATATGCTAATGAGTTCCCCTAGCTCTTTTTCTACGAAACGACCCCTGGGTGTGAGGATCAGGATATGAATCCAACTCCCAGTAATCTTTCCCCAGGAGGTGTCAATTTCCTCCCTTTCATTAGGCACCCTGCAGGCCAAGGACTACAAGAACCGCTGCCTGCAGGCTACGCTCACCCAGACGGACACTCGGGGCGGCGAAGATTGTCTGTACCTGAATATTTGGGTCCCTCAAGGGAAAAAGCAAGGTAAGGTCTATAAGGGAGGGGGAAGTGGGGCTGGGGTGTGTGAGCTGGGTGTGGGGAGGGGCCCAGCTGCCCTGGATTTGGGTTGGCGAGAGAGGGAGGAGAGTCGGTCTGGTTCCTGGGGCACCCGTTCCCAGCAACTCCATGGCGAACCAACCAGAATGCAATTGTGTGAGAACCTGGATGTAACGCTCGGCAGTTTCCAGCCGGTCTTGTTCACCCGCCTGACTTTTCTCTCCGGGCCCGGCCTTTTCTGCTTCAGTTTCCACCAACTTGCCCGTGATGATCTGGATCTACGGGGGAGCCTTTATCTGGGGAGGCGGGCAGGGCGCCAACTTCCTGAGCAACTACCTCTACGATGGGGAGGAGATCGCCACCCGGGGGAAGGTCATCGTGGTGACCTTGAACTACCGCCTGGGGCCCCTCGGCTTCCTCAGCACCGGAGATGATAGCCTGCCAGGTAAGGCCCCGTGGGGGGTGTGTGTGTCTTTCTAGGTCAGTGTGGGTATGATGCATCGCGGTGATTTTGAATGTCCAGCTCAGGCATTCGGAGTCTCTGTTTTCAGGAAGCTGCCAGTCTGCTTTGGCACCCTCCTCTGTCGGCTGCTGAGGCTTCTGGGATACGGCCTTGGGCCGCCTGCTCACTTCTCATGGTGTGCTGGGGCAGTGTTGCTCTATGCAAATGCACAGACGCTCCTCGCCGTCTCCAGCAGCTGTGTGTTTGGCAGCAGAGAACGCATTTCAAGACCTGCTTGTCTGTGGGGCCGGTGGCTGTGAAGTTGCCAGTGTGTTGCACTATACTGCTCCTTTGGGCCAGTGTAGTGAGAAAGCCAGGGGAGAGAGTGGTAGACTACCATCCTGGGTGACCTGGCTTGGAATCCTACATACCATGGAAGACCACCGGATGGCCTGGGGCTCATCACAAAGCTCTCAACCCTCAGGGTTCTTGTGGGAAAACGGAGGAGGGAGAATGGTGTTCTAGAAGCCGCCTTAAATCCCAGCAGGATAGAAATCAATGCAGAGGCATGTAAATGCAAACGAAAAGGGCACGTGTGCATTGTAGCTGGCAGTTCACGCAGACAGGACGTGGTTTGGTTGATCAGGACTTGACCTGCAGCTGAACGTGTGAGCCAGCTCCACTTTGGAGGTGGTGGGAAAGTTCAGTTTTGGTTAGATCTGTTGGCCTTTGGGGGCTGCGGTCACCGAGTGCTTGAACACAGATCGTCCCCTCCTCAAACTCTTCTTCGTTTCCCCTCCCAGGTTTATTTTACAGAGGAAAACAGATGATAAGTCTTCGTAATCATGTTCCTTCTTGCATACAGTCACAGCCAAAGAACCGCACACGTAGCAAATGATTTCACCAGCTGTCCTGCAGATGTGCTTTTATCAGTGGTTTATTTCCACAACGCAGACCTTGGGGGTTTTATCCAGAAACAACCGTACCGATGTGTGTTTGTGTGGATGTGTGTGGATGCACCCACACATACAATCCAGTGCAGCAGCTGTGCTTAAAGCAGGGGCTCCCAGCACGGGGCCCGTGAGTGCCTTAGCACCTTTCCAGATGCCCACCAGGTGCTTTCAGAAAGTGGGTGGGGCCAGGTGGGGCTTTTGCACAGCCAGGCTTCTGATTGGCCACTGGAGATTTTATTGGCTGCGCAGATTTTTTAAAACAATGCCAGTTTGGTGTAGTGGTGTAGCACAGACTCTAATCTGGGAGAACCGGGTTTGATTCCCCACGCCTCCACTTGCAGCTGCTGGATGACCTTGGGCAAGCCATAGTTCTGTCAGAGCTGTTCTTGAAAAAAGAGCCGTTTCTGTCAGAGCTCTCTCAGCCCCACCCACCTCCCAGGGTGTCTGTTGTGGGGAGGGGAAGGGAAAGGAGTTTGTAAGCCACTCTGAGACTCCCTTGGGTCGTGAAAGGCGGGGTATAAATCCAATCTCCTCCTCCTCCTCCTCCTCCTCCTCCTTTCTTCTTTCTTCTTATTCTTGCTGTGGCAGCAGCTGCCAACATAGCACAAGAATCTGCACTGTGTGGCTGAAGGGAAGCCGTGGCAGCCATTTCGTGGCTGGCTCCACCTTCAACAGCAGCCATTTTGTGGCTGTGGTCACCACCCCGCGTCAGCATTCCAAACGTTCCCACAGGGTCAAAAAGGTTGGGGACCCCTGCCTTGAAGACGAATAGATTTATTGAAGTAGATACTTTTGGGGCTGCAGCCCCCTTGGTCAGACGAGAGCCAGAGAGGTGACGATGAATGCTTGGGGGGCTGGACCACAAGGATCTGTCTCTGTGTGTTTGGGAGTAGGGCAGAGTAAAGGCTACACTCCAGGCAGACCAGAGCTCCTGTTTCCCGCTCATCCTGGGACGAGAGGGGGGTGACTTCTCCAAGCCCCGGCTTTTTAAAAGTGTCGGTCTTTGTTTCAGCTCCATTCCCTGAGAGCCAGTTTGGTGTAGTGGTTAGGAGAGTGGACTCTCATCTGGGAGAACCGGGTTTGATTCCCCACTCCTCCACATGCAGCTGCTGGTGTGACCTTGGGTCAGTCACAAGTTCTCTCGGAGCTGTTCTCTCAAGAGCAGTCCTCGAAAGAGCTCTCTCAGCCCCACCCACCTCACAGGGTGTCTGTTGAGGGGAGGGGAAGGGAAAGGAGATTGTAAGCCACTCCGAGACTCCTTCGGGTAGTGAAGGGCGGGTTATAAATCCAATCTCTTCTCTCTCTTCTTCCATGTGCAAAAAGTGCCATGGTTTCAAAGCCATGAAGCACGTGCATGCCGGTTCTTTCCCCAGATCTGCTCCTGGGAAACCCAGCTCTCTTTTGACCGCCCCCTTGTGTTTCTCCTGTAGGTCTGTGCCATGTGAATATCCAGCAAGTCCATACTTTTTGTGCCAGAGTTTAAAAAACAAGCTGCGTCAATTATTTTCAGCCCTGGACAGTTTAAACAAGGTGGAGATTAAAGGTGCCAGAGGGTCGTTACCCAAAGATAACTGATTGGCCTTGTTTGCCCAGGGCCAATTTTAGTCCTGTTTGTCTTGTGTGCGGTTCGGCCCTGTAGAATGAAAGTGCCTTGCGCTCTGTCAGTCTTGCGAAAAAGTTACAGGGCCACCAGTCCATACCTATTCATTATTTGTGCGGGAGTGGGGCAAATAGAAGAACTAACTTTCCAAAAACTTTTCTCACCTGGTTGCTTGTAGACAGTCCTGACTCAACGCAGGTGACCAGGTGAGTGACTATAATTAAGTGTGTGCTTAGTTAGGGGTACCAGATGTCCTCATTTGGGGGCATCCGTCCTCTTTGGGCTCTTTTTAAAAAACTGATGAAGATGTCCTCTTTTCTGGGTTGGAAGGCTAGGAATATTCCTAGTGAGTAGCAGTTATCACAGCTTAAATAGTCAGGGGCAGTGTTCCCTCTAAGCTGAGTTAGTGTGAGCTAGCTCACCATTTTTTGGCCTCTGGCTCACAAATTTTTGTCTCCTCAGGAAGGATGGCTCCAGAGCAAACTAATTTATGCAGTAGCCAAATCGCTCGCTCACAACTTTAATGCCAGTAGCTCACAAAGTGGAATTTTTGCTCACAAAACTCCACATCTTAGAGGGAACATTGGTTAAAAGGAGGCTTTGTTACAGTGATCACTTGTTTGGAGTAGTCAGTCGGGAAAGATGTCTCCTTTTTTGCTTTTCAGAATATGGTAACCCTAGCTCTGTAGTATTGGGGGGGGGGGTGCAACAGGAACTCCTTTGCATCTTAGGCGACACACCTCTAATGTAGCCAATCCTCCAAGAGCTTACAGAGCTCTTCTTACAGGGGCTACTGTAAGATCTTGAAGGACTGGCTACATTAAGGGTGTGTCGCCTAATATGCAAAGGAGCGCCTGCTACAGAAAGAGCCCTGGGGTTGCCAACTCTAGGTCTGGAAATATCTGGAGACCTGAGGGCGGAGCCTGGCAGGGCAGGGCTTAGGGAGGGGAGGGACCTCGGTCGGGGGTAATGCCCTGCCGCCCACCTGCCAGAGCAGCCATTTTCTCAAGGGGGAATGGAATATACCTTTTAATAAATAATAAGCGATTAGTGTGGTCTGGAGCCCCGTTGTAATTTTGGGATATCTCTAGCCCCGCCTGGAGGCTGGCCGCCCTCGGGGCCGGTGGGACATGCTCAAATGTTACTCCTTCCCAACGGCTTCGTGGGAGGTGAAGATAACTCTTGAGTGTCGCTTTGGTAGCTGAGCTGCTTGCTTATTGATTTAAAACAGTCACACACCCACCCTTCCCCTCCTGGGCATCCCAAACAAATTAGACCATCGGGGGTATTTTTAGCCCTTTCCTAGGGAATGACAATGAGGATATTGACAGTGGCCTTTCCTTTGAATCCAGAGAGGTGAGCGGGCTATTGACTGTTAAGTATTTGATTTAATTACTTTGTTTGTAGTCTGCCTTTCTCTGAGATTCAAGGAAGGTTACAGGATAACCCCACCACCACCCCCAAAGTGTAGTCAGAGGGCAAAAGACACCCAATGCACAATGGAATAAGGCCAAGGTTACAGAATCAGGGAGTGGTAAACAATGTTCCCTCTAATCCCCCCCCCCCAGCGGAGCATTTCATGTCCTGAGCAGAATGTAACTGCTGGAATCTTAAAATGGGCAAGGGGGAGTGCAAGATCCTGCGTGGCTCCAGACTGCTGCTGAGCGGGGCTTCCTGTGTTAATGAGCGTCCGCTCACACACGCAGCTTAGAGGGAACGCTGGTGGTAAACTATCTGCACCCTGATATGGATAGCCCAGGCTAGACTGATCTTGGAAGCTAAGCAGGGTCACCCCTGGTCTCTATTTGGATGGGAGACCACCCAGGGAGTCCAGGACTGCTACACATAGACAAGCGATGGCAAACCACCTCTGAACGTCTCCATGATGGGTCGGCTGCAACTTGACGTCAGTTTCCACCACCAACACCCCCTCTAAGCTGTGGAGTCTTGTGAGCAAAAATTCTACTTTGTGAGCTGCTGACATTAAAGTTGTGAGCAAGCGATTTGGCTACTGCATAAATTAGGTTGCTCTGGAGCCTTCCTTCCTGAGCTAAGACAATGAGCCGGAGGCTAAAAAACTGTGAGCTAGCTCACGCTAGCTCAGCTTAGAGGGAACCCTGACCACCACCATGTTTTATTAGGGGATATTAAGAACCATGGGGGAGAAGGTTATGGTTTAATAAAAGCCGATCTGTATTTCAAGTTTTCCAGAGTGATGTACTTGATATGACCTTATGAGTAGAGTCATGTGGGAAGATTGGGGGGGGGAATACCACAGAAAGGTCTGTAAGTGGGCGCTAGGCATTTACCTGCTTGATCTGAACAGCTCAGGCCAGCCCGATCTCGGGAGCTAAGCAGGGTCGGCTCTGGCTAGTATTTGGACGGCAGATGGCCAAGGAAGTCCGGGGTCACAGTGCAGAGGCAGGCAATGGCCAACCACCTCTGCTTGTCCCTCGCCTTGAAAACCCTACAGGGGTCACCGTGACTGGCTGGCTCTTTCCGTGACCAACACATCGAAAGTGAGGCATCCTATGGACAGCATAGAAGGCAGATCACCAGGTGCAGTAATTTCAGATAATGCGGTAAAAACAGGTTATACCCAGGGGTTGTTTCCTGCTGGAGCGCCCCGGAGCAGCGGGCTGACTGGAGATGGTAAGGGGAGGCGGGCAGACATGCCTGGCTTCCCAGCCCGATCTTCTCCAGGTGCCCCGCAGCTGGATTTAAATCCCCCCCCCCGAGTCACGCCGCAGGGGCGGCACAATCTTTCCATTGTATTCTACGGCCCCATAAAATACAGTGGAAAGATCACGCCGCCCCTGCGGTGTGACTCCAGAGAGAAGGGGTTTAAAGTTTAAACCCCTTCTCTCTCCGCTTCCCCCCCACCCTGCCTTGGCAGGCCGGCTGGGGAAGGGGAGGGGAGGCTTTTGAAGATGCCTCCCCCCTTCTTTTGCTTCCCATTCTGACACACGTCTGGTGATGTCAGGGGGCGTGGCATATGCTAATGAGTTACGCGAATAGGTATGGTCGTGCGCTCCTGAACCTTTTTCTACGAAATGACCCCTGGTTAGACCTGCAATAGTCACTGCCGTGAACGGTCTTCCTTCAATACCTCACACATAGCTTTGGAAACATACAGGTCTGTTTTTAACCTGTGAATGGGTTCGGGGGTAGACCTGAACGAAACACGCTCTCAGCCAGCCTGCCTTTGACTTTCCCCCTCTGAAACGCATTCCCCCCCCCTCAGGAAACTATGGGCTCAAAGACCAGCACATGGCCATCGCCTGGGTGAAGAGAAACATCAAGGCCTTTGGAGGGGACCCGGAGAACATCACCCTCTTTGGGGAGTCCGCTGGGGCCGTCAGCGTCTCCTTGCAGGTGTGTGTGTGTGGGGGGGGCGGCTTCTTGCTGGGCTCCTGACCGTGTCGCCGTGTTGCATTATGGGAAGGGTCCCCGAATGTGGTGGCCGCTGACACCTTTCCTGGTGATGCCCACCAAGTGGGGTTTTTTTTAGAAAGTGGGCGGGGCCAGGTCAGGCGAGCCTTGTTATTGGCCACTGGAGATCTGATTGGCTGTGTAGGTTTTTTAAAAAATAGTTGCTTCAGCAGCAGCAGCCACTGTGGAGAAGGATCCTCACAGGTGGGTGTACGGAAGAAGGTATTTTTAAACACCCTGTTCATTTTAAAAAGTGTTCTGTTGAACTGAGCTTCTGCCTGAAAAGAGTTACTATCAGAGTTGACGAATGAATTCACTCCCTGACATTTTGTGGTTGGCGCTGTTGCTCGTGGCAGCCATTTTGTGGTTGTGCCCTAGGGTTGCCAAACTCCCGCAGAGAAGGAGGGAGTCCCCTGCCCCCAGCTGCTAATTAGCTGGCTGCCAGAGGGACTTGTCAGTTGAAAGAGGAAGGCCCAGGCCACGTTGCTGGAGTCACACAGGAAGTGACGTCATCAAGCCAGCGAATTCTGGGCGACGCTCTGGTATTTGGGCAAAAACTCTGTGGTAGAAGCCAGTTTTGCCATAGAGCTTTTGCCCAAGTACCAGAGCATCACCCAGAAGTCACTGGCATGATGACGCCACTTCCAGTGCAGTGCCGGCATCGTGGCCTGGGCTTTTCTCTCTCCTGGTAAGCTCCCCCCCACCAGTTGTCAGAAGGGACCTGGCAACACTATTGCGCCCCCCATCCCGAGTCATGATTCCAAAGGCGGTCTCAGCCCTCAAATGTTGGGGAGCCGGCGTTATAATTTATTTGCGATAATCAGCTGTTTTCAGCTGATGTGCTAGAATCTCACCTGTAAAGCCGGGCACACCCTCTGCGGTCTCTGTGCTGTCAGGAACGTACCCCTGGACAAGACCTTTCTCTCAAAGTCGTGGTTCCCCATTCCTGGACTGCAGACTTTGGCATGCCTTTCAGTTAGAGAACGATGCAGATCCTGCCCTGTAATGTGGTAGACTCAGGTGGAGCCGGGAGAATGAACCGCAAGGGGAGAGGTTGTCTTTTTCCAAGTTCCCCACCATTAACAGTGCCCTGGGAGTGGAAAACTGGCCCCGCACGCAAAGGGCTGGACTGGGACTCTTCTCCCTAACGTGATTTTTTTTTTTTACAACACTTGCCCTGCAGACGCTGTCTCCTTACAACAAAGGCCTGATCAAACGGGCCATCAGCCAGAGCGGAGTCGGCCTGTGCTCCTGGGCCATTCAGAAGAACCCCCTCTTCTGGGCTACCAAGGTAAAGCGGCCCGCAGTAAAGGAGCAAAGCCCCCCCCCCGAAATCCTGCCCCGGAAATCCCAGGAAAGACAGCCCTTCTGCCTGCTGAGCAGATGTTCGGACAGCTGGTCGGGTGGTTAGCAATGCTCCCTCTAAGCTGTGGAGCCTTGTGAGCAAAAATTCTACTTTGTGAGCTACTGGCATTAAAGTGGTGAGCGAGCGATTTGGCTCCTGCATAAATCAGTTTGCGCTGGAGCCCTCCATCCTGAGCGAAGACAAAGATGTGTGAGCCGGAGGCTAAAAAACTGTGAGCTGGCTCACACTAACTCAGCTTAGAGGGAACACTGGTGGTTAGTGTGTCGGACCAGGTTCTGGGAGGCCCAGGTGTGGCGAGTCCCCCTTCTGCCTCGGGAGCTGGCTGGGTGACCGTGGGCCAGTCACACGCAGCCTCACCGACCTCACATGGGTGTTGTGAGTATAAAATGGAGGAGACAGACGTGGGCTGCTTTGGGTCCCCCTTGGGGAGGAAGGCGGGGTATAAATGAATTAAATAAATCAACAAATAACATTTGGGGAAGGAGTACCTTACGCTGAGGTTCATCCTCCCTTTGGGTAAATACTCTACCTGGTGAACTAACACGTATGTGGCTCAACTTCTCAAACATCCACAGAACTGGGTGAGTAGTTATTCCCCCTGCATTCGTGGCCTCTGGTGGAGATATCTGCCTTCTAGAGGTGAGGCAGGGAGGGAAGACGGTCTGGTATTGCCTGAACTCGTCAGATCTTGAAAACTAGGTAGGGTCGGTACTTGGAAGGCAGACCACCAAGGCTCTGCAAAGGAACACAATAGCAAACCACCTCTGCTTCTCACGTGCCTTGAAGGCCTCTTGCAGGGGTTGCCGTAAATCAGCTGCGAAATTACGAAAAAAACTGTTCCAACGGCTTCCATATTCCAATTTTGCATATGCAAAGAGAGAGAAAACTGTTGAGAATGTCATGGTCCTAGTGATCAGACTGCTGCTTAAATAGGTTCCTGAGTGGTAATAATTGACGTTATCAGTTACTGCCATACCAGCTCAAGCTGACTGGAACAATTAATGAACAATTTTGTCACTGTTTAACAGTTTAAGATTAGAAAACGGTGCGGGGTGGTGGATAATTCTAGGAATCCCTCAAAACATGGAGTTTTTGCCACCTGTGGTCTTTTAATAGTTAACAGCATCCTTAAGCAACAGGTTTTGTGACAGTTAAGTCTAGTGATGGGCACAAACTGTATTTTTGTAGTTCATTTCGGTTTGTGTTCATTTTGGTTCTCCCCATGAAAAGCCATGGGGAACAGAAAGCATTTAAACACCTGCTTTCTGCTCCCCACCACTTAGCTGTTTTTTGTGAAGAGCAGAAAGTAGGGGTTTAAATGACTCAGAGCCATTTGAACCCCTGTGTTTTGCTCTTCACGAAATGCCACGAACTGCCTTAAAACTTGTGGGAGTTCGTGGTGGCTCTTCAGTTCGTGAACCACGAACCGGCCAAAATTCATCACGAACTTACATTTGTGAGCTGGTTTGTGTCCATCCCTAGTTAAGTCCTGCATATTTTCCAGAATATTAAACGGTTAAACCTAGAAATGTTTTATGCTAGGGTATACAGCGGCAAGCTGATCAACGAAGCTTGAAGAAAATATTAAAAAGCAAGCTGGAACCCATCCCTCAAACTACACAGACTAGATGTGCTAATACAGTCAAATAAGAAGACAGGAGCAAGTTAAATTAAGCCCGATGTGTTAATTTGCACAGTTGTAAGAGAGAGCTACCCCCATCACATCTGACAGCGTAGACATTCTGTGAAACTTAATATGAACTGTCTCCAATTTCACATCAAGCTCAGCTATTGAAAAACAGCAAAAAGGTTTAAATATCTGAAATAAAAATAACAATGTCCAGAAGAAATTCAGAGGTCATGAGTTAAGATTCCCTTTGACAAAATAAAGTTAAAAACAGAAAAGTCAACTTCTTCTGAACAATGTGTTTGTCAGTTAGTTGTAGATTTTCCGGGCTGCATGGCCGTGGTCTTGGCATTGGAGTACCTGATGTTTCACCAGCAGCTGTGACTGGCATCCTCAGAGGTATAACACCGAAAGATGGAGTACTCTCTGGGTGCATTCAGACGGGGCATTTGCAACGGTATAGGTGCCAGTTGCAATCGGTGTACTTACCGGCGTTCACACGGCGAACATCTGCCTTCCGTCCCTAACCGTTGCAAAGAGCTTTACACCGTTGTATTCTGCCACTAGGTCCCCAAGTGGTGGTATCCTGAGTGCAATGGTTGTAATCGCTTTACCCCC